TTGTGATTTGTCCCGTCCATCCGCTTGAAATGGCCGATTATACATTAAATATCTTAAAATCAAATAATACCACACATCAGTGGCGGCTGGGGGATTTTGGGTATACCGATATCTCAATTATTAGATATGGGACCCACACCAAATTTATATGAGTTTATAATGACATTAAATAAACAAGTTCTGAGCAAGCAAAATTTAAATTGAAGTTTGCAAAAAAAGATAACCGAAACATCGAACATGGAACTGACGACACGGTACTGATGAATGGGATACAAATTTGAGATTATAATTCGGAATTAAGTATTTTACTGATATTTTTTATTATTGGATGCTACTTATCAACAAATCACATATTGCCTTATATAAATTACAAGAAATATATTTACGTAAGAAAATAACTACTCACCACAGTACTGAAATTTTGACTGGAACTATACTTACGTGCATTCACCACAATTTCGCCGCTTGCATTGTTTTCAAGATGACTTTCGTGTAATTTTTTACCAACACTTGAGTTAAAACGAGGACTTCACATTTAAACTTCAATATTTCGCAGGAATTTTGAATTTTATTGGACACAGAATTGACGGGTAAAAGTGAGTACAAAGATTATCAATTTTTTAAAAATTGCTATTATTCGAATCTATGATAAAATATGAAGAATACATTATTTAATGTTTTATAGTTAGTAGTGAAATTAAAAAATTTAAGATAAATTGAGTATATTTTAAAATAAAATCACGTTTTGAATATTTATTATGTTTTTCTACAAACGTGCTTTTAAAAAAATACATTAAAATTTGGTGGACAAGTTAAAAAAAACCTGGATCTTTTGTAATATACTAAAATATTTACAAAAAATATTAAAATACCAACTCTATTGACTAATGACATCAGGTTGTCCAACTTTTGTAGAATCACCCATATAAGTTTGCTTAAAAAGCCCGTTCAATTAAAGTAAAAAAAAATTAACCTATTTTAAGTAAATGTTTAGTTTCTTTAAGTAAGCCAACTAACTTAATTCAACATAACCTTGGATAAAGTCAACTAAATATTTGCTTGGATTAACCAAATATAAGTTTAAAAAGGTCAAGTAAATATAAGTTGTCCACCAAATAAAAATGTTCTTGTATACATCGAAATGGATTTATTTAATCCAAACCGAATATATTAAAATCAAGACCTTAATTTTTTCTTTTCAGATTTCATTTTAATTCTAGGCTATAGCATCAGTATTTAGCAACCACTGTGTATAACATTTTATTTTAATTAAATAATAGAATAAAAACATACAATAAAAATGGTTTTTGATTTAAATCTTCCCCAAACATGAGAAATACTTAAAACATAGGGAAGACTTGAACAAATTAGTCAAAAAGGAATAAAATGGATTCATATAGTCCATACAAATATAAAAAATCTGAGATAGGTATTCGAGTTGATTTCATGAAAGTTTCCCTTATATATAAGACTATAGTGGCGCCTTTCTTATATTAAATTTATTTTTATATTTTATATAATAAATTAAAATAATAAATAAAATTATAACAGAACTTTAAAGAAAAATTAATAAAAAGTTGACGAAATTAATGCCTGTGGACCTAAACAATTTGTACAGGTGAGTTGGTGTGACTTTTATGTATAGATATCTTTTTTTATTTGAAGAGCTACATTTTCATTAAATTTTAAATTGTTTTGCCTACTGGATTTTCTCCAGTCCGAATCGATTTTGACATTAACTGTCAAACCAATGACTGTGATACCAACTATCTAAAGTAAAATTAAATTTTTTAAAAGGTATAAAATTAATTTTTTTTATAGAATTTTTGCAAAATAGATAAAATAGAATAAAGAACTCATGTCATGAGACCTTTTGTCGCACTCGTCCATTACATAAATTGTCCGCGTGCGACAAAATGACGTCTTATGACATTAGTTCTTTAATATACTATTACATGGTAGAAAAAAAATAAGTCCAACCATAAAATCGAAAGATGGTGATGGTACCTAACTCAACGATTTTTGGTTTTGAAAGGTTTTTATTTTATATATATATTGTATTACCTTAATTTCACTTCACTCTTTAAAATCCGAAAGGAAATTAAAAAAATGAGGACAATAAAAATGCATTCCATTTCTGCTTCTGGTCCAGTCTTAAAATGTAAACACTACAATTTCGTGTACCAAAACCATTTTCCTGACTACAAGTGCAGTTAATATTTCCAACCCTTAAAAAGCAGTTGCAATCATCTTTATAATAATTAGGCATTTTTAAATATCAATAATTGATATTTAAAAATGCGTAATCTCGCGAAAGCGGCAATGTCACTTTGTGCACGAATTACACACAGGATTTTTTTCTACAACCGGTATTTTCATAAAAATGTTTGGTAATAATTATTAATTAATAATAATCCTAAATTTGACTTTTGAGTCAAAAGTCGCAGTGTATACTACACCTTTTCCAGTTGAAATTCAGAAAATAGGAATTGTAATTCAGTTATTCCAGTTGATATTCAGATAGTAGGAATTGTAATTCAGCTATTCCAATTGATTTTAAGAGAGTAGCATATGTAATTCAGATAACACAATTGATTTTAAGAAAGTAGCAATTGTAATTCAGATAACACAATTGATTTTCAGAAACTTGCAATTGTAATTCAGAAAGTAGCAATTGTTTTTCAGATTAAATCAAATGTAATTTAGCCGCAGCAATTGTTTCAGGAACAGTGGGTTGCATACAGTAAATCGATGATGAATGAAAGTACACGTTATCTTTATTAACTAAGTAAATTAAATTTATATAAAGTACAAATGAACAAAATTCGGTACTTACTTGTAATAAGTTGACAATAATTGTCAACAATTATTATGACAAATATACCTACTTAAATGGTGATAAATTTGTTTATTATTGTCAATTCCATGGAAAAAAAGCAATATACAAAAAAATACATTAAATTAAGATTTTAGAAAATAAGTAAAATGAAGTATGAAAATGTTATCATTTGTTAATTTCTGAATTTCAATTGATATATTCTGAATTACAATTGTTACTGTCTGAATACTATTTGTAATTTCTGAATATCAATTGCTACTGTCTAAATATCATTTGCAATATCTGAATTTCATTTGCAATATCTGAAAATCAATTGCTGCTTTCTGAATATCAATTGCTACTTTCTGAATATCAACTGGAAAAGGTGTAGACGTTATTGTGGTTTCCATGGTAACTAAGGGAGGGTTTTGGTTATTTTATCGCTCGGCGAGAAATACAGGGTGTTATGTAATTAATGTTATATATTAAAATGGGTTGTTCCTTAGGGTCCATAAAGAAGCACCTGAAACTTTTTTTTTCTAAATTCCAAAGTCTAAAAATAATTTATAATAACCTTTATCCTACCAAAAAGTACGCCACTGATCGACTAGGAACTTTAGGTTAATCTGGTGGATTTATTATGTTATGGTTGGTAACAACAGTGTTTCCAAAATCTCTCAAAAAAGTTGACAAACATTGTTTAAATTTAGCTTAATTACAAAAATGACAAAATTAACAATGCAAATTGTCAATTTGGCGTTTTTATTAATTGTTGGTTGTTTCATTTTTGTACTGAAGGTAAATTCAAACAAAATCTGCCAACTTTTATGACAGAATCTAGTGCATTTCTTTTAAATTTTAGGTTATGTTTTCAAATTGTAAATATCTTAACTAAGGGAAGTGTTTTTGGATTTATTTACACAAATTAAATGTTTAAAGTTTAACCTGTGAACTGGTCCCAATTTCATCTGAGTAAACTGAGAAAAAAACTGATGAAAAAATTAATTTTGTGGTTATGGATTTCAAATTTCAAAGGTACTAAATTTTCTAATCATTGCTTAAGCTAATAGCTGGATCAGTAAATAAATACAGAAGGGTATTAGAGCTTTAAGGGCATAAAACTTTTGTATTTATTGAGTTTTTATTTATTTTTTGCAAGAAAAATTTTTAGTAACAATTTTTTACATCTGGCAACGCATAGCTACTTTGTTGGTTGGTATCTATGTACTCACAAAATACAGGTGTGCAGAGATAAACAAGTGTGTAACCAGTGGCGTATCACAAAAAATATAAAAAACTTCTAATGCATATTTTTTCTTTATCTTTGGAAAAATGTTTTTTTAAATATTTTTCCTTTATTCCTTATGTCAAAAGGTATTCAGTATTTTAATATATAACATTAATTACATAACACCCTGTTTTATAATACACTTTTCAAAATTTCATGACCATTTTAACACCAAAATGTTCTATATCGATACAAACCAAAATGGTCTTAAATATGGTTCGTTGGTCCGGTGTAAATTCAAATACTAAAATAGTGTAAATTTAACTTTCACACAGTATTAAAATAAATTTTACCTGGTGTAAAATGAACTCCTTTTCAGTGTTAAATATTATGTGTTTTTGGTCAAATTAAAGAATAAAAGAAAAAAAAAAGAAAACAGGAAGTTCCTTGACGCATTACTAGTATATTACCAGTGGTATATATAGAGAAATGCAGTTCTTATGTCAAATAAATGTGGCTTTCAAAACCATAATGTTGGCAAAAATTTATTTTTATTTTAGTAAAATAACATTTCTTTGAAACGATGCAACTGCTTTATTTCTTATTACGAGATCCTTTATTTAAGGTAATTGTTTTGAAACAAGAGCATTTCGTTTGACTCAACTATATGTTAGATTAAGTAGTGGATGCATTCTATATTGAACCAAATAAAGTTTGGTTTGATAATAACAATATTACAATCCAATTTTCACAACACTGCATTTATTTGGTACAACCAAATCTTATTTCGCTGTAAGAAATATGCCTACGTGATCAGGACCAGGGTGCCACCCTGGTCAGGACAGTCAATGCGTTACTTAGTTTAGTTGTAGCACTAGCGTTGTCGCGGGAGGGATATTTTATGTTCTGTGTATTTTACATAGTTTATTGTTTCTGATTAATATTATTAATACTATGAGTGATGAACAGTGCCGCCAGAAGCTAAAGGAATGGGGATTAACTGAGTTAATTTCCATATTCGAAGGTAGGTAAATTTTACATATATTTTCTTGGAGCATTGGAATGTTGCATATTGGTAAATTGGGGTCTGCATGATTTTACAGCGTGCTCTGGTCGTGGGGTTAATAATTACCTATAAAAGGTAGAATCACAATCCACAAAACAAGGTCTGTTAAAATGCGAACGAAAATCTTAAGTTAGATTCTAAACTGTTTTGCGCACCACGCGCCAGCCATCTTTGATATATCTGCCGCCGTTAATTTAAATTAGTTAAAATAGTAGTTCTGTATAACAAAGGCATGGAAGAAGTAAAAATAGTTGTTTTAAATTTTATATTAAACGCAAAAGTTTTTAAACATAACATTTGAGAAAAATATTTTAGATGAAAAAATTAATTATTGTCAATAAAATTATTAAAGATAAATGTATATCTACCAAGTAAAAATAGAGTATTCAGTTTTAAAGTAAACAGAAATGTGTTTTAACATTCGTCCTATTATTTAACAATAATATTGTTAATAAATTGGGTCTATACTGGTTGTAGGACATTCAGTTCGTCCCAGAAAAGTACCTTAAAACCCAACTTATAATGTAATTTAATGTAATTGTAGAATAATTATTATGTAGATATAAAAACTAGTATGTTTTTGTAGAACAAGATGTGAATTTTGATAGTCTGGCAAAAATGCCAGACGATTTGCTGGAGAAGCTGGTACCGAAACTGGGGCCTCTAAGTATCCTTAGATATAATATTAAAAATATACGAGAAAAAGTACGTTTTTTAAAATTCCATTGCATGTGTGCATGAGCATGTAACTTTTATTAGTACGTAGCAAAGCTATGGGGGGTGGGGCAGTGGCGGACTAAACCCGTCGGGGGCCCGGGGCGGTAAAATAAAATGGGGCCCCTAGTCTGCTTATGAAATAATGTGATTGTTTTGTAAATATTAATGTTTTGTTATTTTTAATTAGTAGGTTCTCTTAGCAAGTCCTTTGCAACCCTTTAATGTAATCAGGGATATGAAAATTGATTACAAGCTTTTTCCAGCGAACTTATATTTAAAGTTGTTAATAATTTAAATTTTAAAATCAAGGGGCCCACTCATGGCAGTCCAAGATTAACCATTATTTAATGTAATTATAACTTTTTTTCTAATTCCTGATGGATTGCAGCTAGGGGCTCCCGAGACCAAAATATTAAAAATCTTTTTTAGTTTTATATTTATATTTTGTTTTTTTTTTCATAGCATGTTATTCTTTAGAAACTTGAAATCTCCGGGGTATTTTTTCTAATCAGTTTATATTTTATGGTAAAGCTGGGTCCTGAAATATTTATACCTATACTAGGGTTTTAAAGTGTGGAAAAAAAACGAAAAAATTGGGAAAAAACCAGACCTTAAAAAATGTCTTTTTTGGGAAAAATTAATTTTTATTTAAAATATATTCATTTGAAAAAGTAGCAATCAACAACATAACATTAATTTAATTAAAAAAAAAATAAAACTAAACATTGAATTAAATTAAATTTATTTAAGAAAATGATATGATTATATTCAGCATCGGAAATTACCTTTTTTCTCGATATCAGTCTATCAGTCTACATATCTGTAAAAATTTGTAAATTTTTAGAAAAACTGACTTTTGCATTTTTTCGTATTACTTTTTGAATAAAATGAGAAAAATGCAAGTCAATTTTTCTGAAAGTTTCCCAATTTTTTTCCGGAATAAAACGGTTTTTTTTCGCTGGCTCTATTTTTCCGGAAATTTTAAAACTCTAAATTTTTGATAGTTTTTTGTTGGACTGAGAAAGACTACTTAAGATTTGGGGGCCCTTCTGGGCCAGGGGCCCGGGGCGGACCGCCGCCACCGGCCCCCCTTAGTCCGCCACTGGGGTGGAGTATATCTTCCTCCATCCCTCACCTGCATGGGGTGCGTTCCACGAAATGTTACAAGAATACATTACCAGTAAATATTACAAGAAAATTTTGTAATAATTTTAAATTTAACGCCTTTGAAAAGGTGTGTTCTAGTTTATAATAAAAATCTTTTAGAAACATTTTAGAACTTTGTACTTAAATCCGCTTTTAAGGTTATATAACAGTCCCTAAGGTTTCAACTGTTAACAAAATTGGTTATTTTCGTATTTTTAGGAAACTACGTACGTGTTTTACTTTTCTAGACATATATTGTAATAAACGCTTGTAAAGTGTTCTTGTAATATTTTGTAGACTTTTGTTGACCCTTAGTCTCGTTAGTCAATGAAATATTTTTTTGTCATATTTTTTTCACAAAATAAAAATATTTTTTAGGATCTTACTAAAGTTTTTGTGGATTCACCTTTAGGGACACTAACGACAATATCAGAAAGCCAATCCGACGCAAGTGAATTATCATTTCCAGTCTCCATTCAGGCTGGCTCTCAGTCACTAAGCTCGCCCTCTTTACTTTCTTCGGAGCATTCTATAAATGATATACCAATAATTTTTACTCAAGAATTGGTCAATGAAGCAGTGAACCAGGCACTAGTCACACTAGCCGGTCCCAATACGAATAAAAGAAAGTTTAAAACACACATTGCCGATGTTGATATCCTATCGATAATAAATAATGATATTCATGGTCAAGCTGCAATAGCAGTATATGCTAAGAAAAAACAGCTTGGTCCAAAGTACCAAAATTATGTTGTGGATATAATTTGCAAGTACTTTTTACTAAATCTAAAAGTTTACGGGTAAGATAATTTTGTAGTGACTATTTCCCTCGTCTTAATTTCCACCAATCACAAACGCGCAATTTTGAATTACAAATGGTTTCTAGGTGAAAAAACTGTGTGACAGCACCTGTCAGAAGTTTTTTCGAGTTTACCCGCGGCAAAACTTGACAGCTGTTGTCACCAAAAATTGCAATTTATATTTTAATTGTTAACTGTTACTCATGAAATAGTCTTGTCAAATACCATTCGGGCAACTAATTTTTCCTGTGAAAAAAATCGAAAAAACACAATGCTAAGTAATATTTTTTAACAAAAAGCATTCGTGCAGGTGCAAAAATCCTCCTCTTCGACTCGGATTTTTGTTGCCACCAGCACTCATGCTTTTTGTTAAAATATCACTTAGCAACGTGTTTTTTCGATTCTTTTCGGAAAAATTAAATGTCCTTATGATATTACTTACGAAAAATGCATGTTAACATTTTAACATGAACAATGTAAACGTTATGCATGACTTACACATTGTTCATATTAATGTATTATTTTTAGCTATAATAATACAATATAATAATATTGATAATGCACTAGATAATTTTTTGATAATCGAAAGCACGTTGCTTGGTAATGACGCCAAAGGCAGAGGCTGCTACCAACAAACATGCTTGAGAAAATTGACTTAAAATTATAAGGCATCTGTCAATGTCAGAGGGATATTCGGTCAGAAAATTTTTTGATAAAAAAATTTAATAACTTATCTTTTAAAAGTTTGCACGAAATATAGTCTTTGAATTCTGTCCAGTATTTCTTCCCCAATCTTTTAGTATAAATGCCAGTTTTTCTACGCTTTTATGCTCATTTAACTCATATTTTCGTTCATAGCAAAACTATAAATATTTCCCTCGTGTATTTCTTACTGTTTGTGGTATTTTTTTATAATTGGTGCATTTCTAAAACGTAATATTTTAAAATATAAAGTTGGCAGTCTTGGATGAAAACATCCCTGAATGTTGTTATCACTTAAATGTTGAAATTATTAGGTGAATTGTGAATGACAAAAATAATAAAATTTAATTGGATTTTAGAACTATTAAAACATTTTCTTTAAAATTTATAGTCTATTTTTAGGCGTCTAAACAATGAATGTTTTGACGAACTCTGCCTTAAGATACTGGAGATATTTCCAGAGGAAATAGCATCGACATATTATGTTGCCCCGGTTAGAAAATGCATGTCAAGATTAAATAAACCTGGCATTTCAAGAGGCAAAATTCCGGATAAATATCGTAACGAAATAACTGAACTAAAAAATGCTGGAATTATCCCCAGACATTCTCATCTGGACCAATCCGAAGCGGTAACGGATGAAACTATTAAACAAACTATAGGTGCGTGCAAGCCAGAGTACTTTCTATTATAATAATCTTTGATGATGCAGTTTGTAAACAATATCTCATTTATTTTTAGAATCTGATGCTGCTATTGATGACAGTTGTACTTGGCTAAGAAACAATACTCAACCCCAAGAAAGTGTACGTAAACATTGGAAGACTACGTTCAAAACTAGAAGAAGGCAAATTTGCAGCCAAAAAGACACTATAGGCGGTATATACGAGCAGTGGCCAATTCTGAAACACTCTATTGGATATACTCTGGTAAGGGATCAAATTATTACTCTCTTAGTCACTCACTTTAGTTAAATTTTAACATTTACGAAACAATTATTGTAAAATTATTCCCATATATTTTAGATTGAAGACGACTTTCAAACATTATATCCAACAAAAGAGGATTTGATGATAAATTTTAAAATACTCTTTGAAAAAGCTATTCAGTGTCGGAATTCGACACTGTCAAGTGACGATTCAATCCTACTAGATATAGTAGACTCGCCTACCATAACAGAAGGTATAGTCACGGCCAAATCTATATGGGTGCACGTCATCAATGAGATATAATGACGTCAGCATTACCAACTATGAATTGTAAAGTTACTGCCGTTAAATTTGCTTTTTTAAGGCGTAATTCTGATGTGTTATTAAAAAGAAATCATTCATTTGCGTATTGTATATCAAGAACTGTAACAATTTCCTTGTTTTAAAACGTTTTTTCACGAAATTATCAAAATAAAACCATTCACTTAGTAATTTTTGTGTGTGCCAGTTGGTAATAGCTTAAGGCTGGCGCGCACCGTTCAATATTATTGATGGGTCGCTGTCATTTTATATTTGACGTATTTTTGTAATTGTGACATTTCGTCCGGAAGCATCGTTTGTTGCAAATTATTATAAATAATATTATACATTATGTTTATAAGATTCTATCCCTGGATTGTGCAAACAATGATATAAGGCTTGTTGGCAACTAGCCGTTATTAGATTTCGAAGAGATTGCGCCCTTAATAATAAATTTGGGGAAATAATCTGACTTCAATTCTGACCTGGTTTGCTCTGATGACAAGGACGACGGGTAATTTATTATTTTTGTGTTTCTGATAATTTAGTATTTTTTTGTTATGTGCATATGTAATAAAAATGTAATAAACTCCGTTTGTTTTCTCTTTAAACACATTTAATAAAAATTTGCCTGTAACAAACTCCCAATTAGTTAGTGCAGAAGATTATAACAAGGACGTTATAATTCCATCTTAATAACAGCCCCCACCGCTATAAATAGTCAACAATACACGAGCGTTAGATTGTGTCTGGGCACGTATGAATAGACCTTAACGCTGACGTCATATGCCGTTGATGACGTGCACCCATACAGATTTGGCCGTGACTATATGTTATAGTCACGGCCAAATCTATATGGGTGCACGTCATCAATGAGATATAATGACGTCAGCATTACCAACTTTGAATTGTAAAGTTACTGCCGTTAAATTTGCTTTTTTAAGGCGTAATTCTGATGTGTTATTAAAAAGAAATCATTCATTTGCGTATTGTTTACCAAGAACTGTAACAATTTCCTTGTTTTAAAACGTTTTTTCACGAAATTATCAAAATAAAACCATTCACTTAGTAATTTTTGTGTGTGCCAGTTGGTAATAGCTTAAGGCTGGCGCGCACCGTTCAATATTATTGATGGGTCGCTGTTATTTTATATTTGACGTATTTTTGTAATTGTGACATTTCGTCCGGAAGCATCGTTTGTTGCAAATTATTATAAATAATATTATACATTATGTTTATAAGATTCTATCCCTGGATTGTGCAAACAATGATATAAGGCTTGTTGGCAACTAGCCGTTATTAGATTTCGAAGACATTGCGCCCTTAATAATAAATTTGGGGAAATAATCAGACTTCAATTCTGACCTGGTTTGCTCTGATGACAAGGACGACTGGTAATTTATTATTTTTGTGTTTCTGATAATTTAGTATTTTTTTGTTATGTGCATAAGTATGTAATAAAAATGTAATAAACTCCGTTTGTTTTCTCTTTAAACACATTTAATAAAAATTTGCCTGTAACAAACTCCTAATTAGTTAGTGCAGAAGATTATAACAAGGACGTTATAATTCCATCTTAATAACAGCCCCCACCGCTATAAACAGTCAACAATATACGAGCGTTAGATTGTGTCTGGGCACGTATGAATAGACCTTAACGCTGACGTCATATGCCGTTGATGACGTGCACCCATACAGATTTGGCCGCGACTATACTATATATAATAAATGTTTGATAAATATTTAGAACACGGAGATTTTGAAATAACAAATAAACGTTTAATAACCTTACATTGTTTTATCTCACTTGCTTAAATATTTATGTTGATAATTCTCATTAATAGGGTTAAACTAATGAAGAGAGGACAAGGGTTTAATCTTACATTTACATACAAATCTTTGTTACAGATTCTAAGAATATCATTAGGTTGTACATTTTGTCAAGTACTTTACCGCCCAAAGCACCAAAGTTGAAAAAATGGAAACCATCCATAGCAGAAAGCCGCGAAGGTATTTTAGTTATAGTAAAAGTAAGTGCACCTCACTCTATATATTCTTTATAATTATGTGCATGTAATTAAACTTATTTATTTATATTTTTTAGACATCTGAAGGTGTACAGGTTGCGATTGATAAGAAACGTGAGAAAATGAGGAAATTGGGATTATCAGTACAGCCATTTGTAATTGTGGAAGCTCCATCAATAACAGCAGTCAAATCTATTTTTGTCTGCATTGACAATATTCAATATGAAGTTCCTTCCATCATTAAAGCACTAGAGGTATGTTTCAAAACCTTTATCGTACTCGACGCCGCTTATCCACTAGAATCTGAACATTTATGGACGCTAATTCAGTGGTATCTGTATGATATCCACACAGTATTTGACGCTAAACAACCTTACGTGTTGGAATTTATAAATAAACTTAAAAAAAACTGAACTGTTTAATAAATAAGCTCGTTATTATTTTTGCTCATTTTCATTTTCTTTATAAGAAAAATTTTGTTGTTGTTTATTTTGGCTTACCAGTTAGTTTAGTTTATGTTACCATTGTCGTAGTAATGCGATATTACTAAGAACATTTAGTTTTAGTTTTATATTTTTATATTTATATTTTTTTATTATTGGTCCATATTAACGTGAAAAAATGTTTCAGTGTAATATATGTCATAATAATGACATTACTTTTGCAAAATTTATCCAGCACCTTAAAATTTTCCATGCCCACAATCAAACTTACAACTGTGGTCTTAGTTCATGTGGCAGAACATTTAGCAACATATATTCCTTAAAGAAACACTTTCAAAAACATCACAGATACCAGAACAGTTACAACCTTTTTTTGGATAAAACCTGCTCTAATGATAATGCAGTAATCGAGGCAGTAATACATCAAAATAAATCTCAGGATGAGCCCTCTACATCCGTAAAGGTTTTTCCCTCTACCATTCCCTCTGCATCATCAGCAAATATCAATATAAACGTCTTCTTAAAATTTATTGCAAAACTATACTGCAAAAATTCAGTTGCGAGATCAGTTGTACAGGAGGTTATTGAAGAGGCTAGTGAAATATTTTCAAGTATTGGGGATCAAATGAATATGTATATGTCAGAAATATTTTTAAAGTACAACGTTTCAGACGAAGATGTTAAAAAAGGGAACTCTTTGATAAAATCTATAAGTGCCCCATTTCAAGGGTTAGAGACAGAATATTTACGACTTAAATACTTTGAAACATCACAACTATTTTTTAAACCGACTTTACATACTATTTGTGAGTTACAAGGTCCTAGGCACTCTCGCGGACTGACGACACATTCGATTCAGCCATGTACTTTGCAATTAATTCCGGTTGGTAAAGTCTTAAAAGGTTTTCTTGAAGTACCAGGTATTTTTGATCAAATAGAAGAATATATTTTTAAAATGAATAATAGGGATGGCGTAATAAGCAGCATTTTGCAAGGTAATTTGTGGAAAAATATTTCTGATAGGTTTGGTGACAGATTTGTAATTCCATTGTACATCTACTTTGATGAATTTGAAACCGGAAATCCACTTGGATCCAGAGCTGGCATACATAAATTAGGTGGTGTTTATTTTTCTATAGCAGCTATACCACCAGAATTCTCATCAAGACTAGAAAATATTTTTTTAGCACAAATTTTTGAAACAAGGTACATGAAAATGTTTACAAACCAAGAAATTTTTAATCCTTTAATCAATGAACTGAAAAAGTTAGAAAGTGATGGAATCACAGTTAATCTCAAATCTGGAGAAAAACAAATATATTTTTATTTAGCAGCTGTTCTTGGAGATAATCTGGGTCTTAATTCAATACTAGGTTTTAACGAAGGTTTTAATAGTAAACACTATTGTAGATGTTGTAGGCTGGATAAAGAGACATGCCAGAAAGCTGTTCGAGAGGATTCAAAATCATTTAGAACTATTATAAACTATGCTCAAGATTTATTAAAATTTGAATGTGGCGTTAAAAGTAGATGCGTATGGAATGATTTAAAGTACTTTGACAATACTGTTAATGTGTCTGTCGACATTATGCATGATATTCAGGAAGGAATCTGCAGATATAACATGGGGTATATTCTAAATCACTTAATTAATGTTAAACACTATTTCTCATTGTCTGTCCTAAACAGAAGAATTGAATATTTCAATCATAATTCATCAGATGTTGCTAACCCACCTCCAAGTATTAAAGAAGATCATGTTAAAAATTGCATAATTACAATGTCAGCCTCGGAAATGTTTTCCTTTGTTATATATTTTGGTTTAATAGTTGGAGATTTGGTAGATGAAGATGATGACGTTTGGGACTTTTACCTAACATTTTACGACTTAGTCGTTACATTATATAGTAGAAATTTCAATGACTCATTGTTGTCCTATTTGAAAGAGTTAATTGCTCAGCATCATGAAAGTTTTATTAAATTGTTTCATACAACCCTTAAACCCAAATATCACTTTGCATTACATTATCCCAGTATTATAAAAAATTTGGGTCCCCCTAGGTATTTCTCCTCAATTAGATATGAAGGCTTTCATAGAATATCCAAAACTAACGCTCATATAGTGACATCCAGAATAAATTTGGCATATACAGTGGCAATAAAACATCAACTTAAGTTATGTTATAGGTTGTATACCGAAACTGGTCTTTGTAATAATTTTGAAAGTTCTGCTAAATATTCAATAGAACAGTTAGGTTTAGAATACAAGAACGTTCTTGCTACAAGTTCTAATAATACCACATTATATTACTTGAAGTGGTGCAAAAGTAATGGCATTATGTATAAACCTGGGCAAATTTTATTTACTAATTATAGCACGGTAAATAATGAACCTGTATTTGAAAAAATTCATATTATTTGTGTGAATTCTAGAAATGATGTAGGTTTTATTGTTTCTCCGATTGAGACAATCGGTTACTGTCGACACTTTCAATCTTACAAGGTTTTTGATAATTTTCAGGATAACCACTTATCACTTATAACGTCAATAGATAATCTAATGTGCCCCTTTCCCAATAATATTCACATGATTGCAATCGGAGATTCGTACATATCTACAGTCAATATTATTACGAACTTGTAACATCTTTCTTTGTGGCATTGTGTGTTAACCCATACTAAATAAGAAAGATGCCATCATAAAAGGCAGAATGTTATTATGTTTTTTACTTAAATAAAGTTATTTTTTTAAATCTGCAGTTTTAATACTTAAAAATCCTTTGACATAATGTAATTTAGTATTTGAGACTTATTATAGGTGATAAAAAATATAACATGCTATGAAATGTGTTTCAAGTAAGTAAGTAGTAAGTGTATTTTTTATTTAATAATTTATTGCTTAGAATTACTGAGTGTTTTTAGCCTAAAATTTGATGTATACTTTTCATTTGCTTAGATATATGTTGCCGGGCTTGTGTTTGTAATTCAAGCCTTTTTCAGTAAAACTACAACGGAAAGAGCATTATGTCTTTAGTAAATGAAATTTTTTTAACATTTTTCCAGCCAAAAAAACAACTTTATATATAATTATTAGTAGTAAACATAATTTTGATATAAACTTGGCATTTTTTGTGTCAAATAAACATTTCTTTGGAATTTAAACGAAGTATTTAATCTTTTTGATACATAGTCAAAAACGTGGACTGTTACGTTACATTGGACCCCATTTTTTTTACTTGAAATTTTCGGAAACGTTCTATTTGAACAATTTATTTGGGATAATTTAATGTATATTTATCATAATTTATTAAGATATTTCAGGTAATATAGTTAAATAGTTGCATCAACTATGTTTGTTTGATAAAACTAAATGATATATTTACCACAATATACTTAAACTTTAGTCCAACCAAATATTTCTTTGTTACAAAGGGATGAAATATACAATATATTTATACCAAATGATTGATATATTTTACACAAATAAATAAAATATTGTCTGAAAAATGTATAGATTTGCTTTAAATTAATCTATATATAGATATATTTAAAGCAACTCTATACATTTTTCAGACAATATTTTATTTATTTGTGTAAAATATATCAATCATTTGGTATAAATATATTGTATATTTCATCCCTTTGTAACAAAGAAATATTTGGTTGGACTAAAGTTTAAGTATATTGTGGTAAATATATCATTTAGTTTTATCAAACAAACATAGTTGATGCAACTATTTAACTATATTACTTGAAATATCTTAATAAATTATGATAAATATACATTAAATTATACCAAATAAATTGTTCAAATAGACCGTTCATTTAATTGAAGTACTTTCTTTATTTCGCCATATTCAATTCAAGGATTTGCTTGATACTAATGAATTTAGAGTTATATGAAATAAATCTTTTTCTCTGTATTATATAATATATTATTCCAGAAAATTGAACCTTCAACTCGCTAGAGATAATGTTTTTAGTGCGTTCCACCAACATAAAATACTTCAAGTATTGACAGCTGTTTCCACCTATTTAAGGTCTCTTTAGTATCGAACAACTTGTAGTATCACACCAAAGCAAAGGACCACCTGAGCTTATATACTTTTAATGTAAGTCAACAGAGGCGAGATTTAAGAACATCACGTGATCCACACCGCCTTTTGCGCGATCGGTACACACTATGCAACCGGGAATGCACGGCAAATTGTTTTAATCGTTTTAACAGAGTGCTTTAGGTTGAAGTAACTCTTATTTCACAAACAACATATTTAGTAAACTGAACCATAGAGCGGGTTGGTTTCAATAAAGTTTTCTGGGTTAATTTAACCAATTTAAAAAAAATAAAATAACTATCTGGTTTAGTACCGTCAAACTAATCTTTGTTTATATTAACCTTCCCACAGTTGATAAAAATTAAAAAAATACAAAAATAAATACTTATGGGTCAACTAAATTAATATAGTTAAATGAACTATTCCTTTTTTTCTGTGTAGGTGCACTTCTCAAATATTTTTAGATAAACACCGTTTTGGTGTTTGCTGTATATAACATTTTCAACCATAATTCATGGTGTTTATATTAACACCACTTGGTGTTGGATTTTGACACCATTTTAGGATTACTCTTTACACCACAGATATTTTAAACAGTGTATGTTCCAACATGACATTGTGGTTATTGTACAACGCCTCATTTTATGCATGAAGTTTTTGTATAAACAGTTCTCTAACCAGTTGATTGGCCGTGGCCGCCAAGATCACCGGATCTAAATGCGTTGGATTTTTTTTGCGGGGGAGGATTATTCCAAGAGCTTGGGACACTTTGTGTAGTGTAGTATTCCTGGTTAATAGGACTTTTATGGTGTGTTTACGATTTCTAAAAATGTGGAAATTAAGGAAATGGGCCCTTTTACTTAGAATCCGACTCTGCTGATTGTAAACATTATAATCACTTTTGTTATATGTATACAATTTAGACTCTTTATTTGGAACCTTTATATGTTATTATAATTGCTTTGTTATTATTGTTAACATATAAATGGCATTAAACGACAATTAAATTATTACAAAATATATCCCAGATAGCTAAATAGGGCAAAAATTAAGTAAAAATTGAGATATGCAATTGTTTTATTCTGTACGTAGTTGCGTACACCTAATAACGTTTGTATTGCACAATCAAATAATTCCAACACATTAAGCCAATATTAAATGTATGTTTCTGTAAAATATTTTCCTTTTTTCTACAAAAAATTATGTTAAAATTTTACAAAACAAAATTAACAAACTACAAACTCATGTTAAAAAATGTGATTTTTATAACATTGTAAACAAAATTTTATGCGTATTTTCAATTATAACGCCACTTATGCACAGAAAAAAGTATTGTCTTAATTTTAATATCTTTGACTTGGTAGTCCAATATAGTATATTAGGTATCAAGTTTGATAAACGCCATTTTATACAGGAATTTAATTTAGGCACGAGCGAGCTTGCGAGCGAGTGCTTAAATTAATGAGTGTATAGAAAAGTTTATACTTTTTCTACGAAAAATACTTATTATTATCTTAAAATGATTTAAATCAAAAATTTGTATAGAGCCCCATCTATGAAACAATAGGGGAATCTGTGTGTCACCGTCAAATGTCACATTTTTACATTTTATAAACACAGATTATAAAGGTCATAAATCGAAATGTATTTCTTGAAAATTGACAGTTTTTCACAGTGAAAGTAAAGAAAATGTTTTATATTAAAAGGTCAGTACAATGTTCATTTAAACTTTTCAAATATTGGGGTTGAGAAACTATTTAATACTTTTGTATTTTTGTATTGAGATAATAAAATAATTTTCACATTTAGTATTATTTTACAAGCTTATTTTTGACATCTGTCCCTTGTTATTTTTAAGATGTTCCACCTGTCGTTTCAAAAACTGCACAGTATTTTGTCACATGAAAATTCAATAATTTTTTTCTCAGCACATATCAAAATTTAAAATATGTGGTCCTAATCAAACATATATAATATATTGAACTTTTTTTAACGAATACAATGCTCATGCAAACATTTACAAATGCTGGTTACATTTTTCAAATCAGCTCAAAAAGTTACCCCTATAAAAAACTATTACTTTAATAATTTGAACAGGTAATTACAAAAAAAATGACGCATTTTACAGAAAATTTTAAAATAACAATTCATTTCTCAGTAATTATATATTGTAAAACGTCAAAATTTTAAATTTATGCTTATTGTAGCGGCTGCAATGAAGCCTATAATTTATATACACAAAACAAAATATAAGAAACATTTAAACATAATTGGTTGTCTTGTAAGTGAAGCAAATGCTTCAAATTAATATATAAAAGGCGCAATTTTTTTAAACAGTGTTATAAATTAGTAAAAAATACGACATTCAGCAAGTGGAAAGTGTTTTAATCATATATATATTTATTAGTTTCAATAGTCTTATATATATAGTTATATATAAACACTAGTAGATATAACATAGTGTTTTTATGGAAATTGTTATTTATTTTGTGTTTATTATTAAAGGTATGTAAAAAAAATAACTGCCTCTACAGGGCCCACGCAGTTTTAATTATTTTTTTTATTTAAAAAAATGACAAAATAAATTTTGATTTTTTTATTTTTATTTGGTTTATAATTTATTTTTTTATAAATTTTATTTCAATATGAGCTAAACATTATGTAGAAAAAAGCCCAACTTTTTTTAATCCTGTTTAAAGATAGGAACTTTATTCTTTGGGTACCATCACAATAATTTTTTTAGCCCAATATGATTGAATTAGTGCTACTAGCAGCAACTATTTTACTAGTACTTATGGTGGAAAATAAAAGAAGAGAAAAAACATATAAATTTTTTTACAAACTCCCGTACCCCTTTTGGATTCCAATTATAGGAAATTCTTATATATTTGTTAAGAGAAGTTTGTATAATGAATTCAAACGTACTTTTTATGATTTTTGTTATATTTTCAGATATATTAAAGGTTCTTCAAAAAACATACAAGATTTATGGAGATTCTTACATATTGTATATACCCCATAGAACATATTTTTCATCAATACCTGAAGAGATAAAAATTATTTTAAACAATCCACATTGTTTAAACAAAAGTAAAGAATACCACCATTTGGAAATTATATTGCCAAATACCGTATTTCTTGTTAAAGGTAAATCCATAATAAATTTAATATTAAAAATAACATAGATTTTACTATTTTTAGCACAAAGGTGGAGAAAGCTAAGAAAAATTCTTTCGAAAAGTTTTAAACCCTCCATTTTGGACTTATTTACAGATACATTTTACGAAAAAAGTTGTGTACTGGTGGACATATTAAAAAAAGACAATGAACAGGATATTTGCTATTTGTTCCAAAAGCTTACGTTGGATAATTTTAGCGGTAAAATTAAGACAACTTTGTGGCGTTTAAAAATATTTTTATAATTTTTAGAGGCTACTTTGGGAGTTAAATCAACAATTTTACAGGATGAGAAGGAACATATCTTTGTTACGGGTGTAAAGGAGTTAGTAAACGTAATAAAGTTTTATCGGAATTTAAATTAATTTTTTTTCAGAATACAACGTCTAGCTTTCAACAGAATAGGAAACCTTATAAAAATGAACGATTTTTTATTTTCATGTATGAGAGATTGCAAAGATATTAAATATTATATTAATGCCCTTTACAGACATATAAGCAAGGTAAAACTAAACTAATATTTAAATTGACAGCAATTTATTGAGAATTATTTTAAGATTATGGCTGAAAAACGGGTGTTAATGGCTAACGAAAATGGTAACAGTATTTTAACCCCTTAAATTTTTTAATTATTTTAATTTTTAGACGCAATGTTAAATACAAGCAAACTTCCTATTTTGGATTTATTATTACAAGTTTCTGAAAAAGAAGAACTGACTAATGAATATATAGAGGAGGAGATGGTACTATTTGCAGCAGCAGTAAGTTAACTATATTAAAAATATTAAACATTACGCTACAAAATTAATAGTTGGTGTAAAACATATTTGTTTTGGGAAAAATAAGTCTTTCCTTTTTGCGTGAAATTAGACATATAGGATGTTTCTACTCAAAATAAACAGAGTTATAGAGATTATTGTTTTGTTTTAAAATTATTGTTTTCCTTGTGTTTTTATAGATCCAAACTAGGGGTGTCAATCCCGAGCCCATTTTCCAATCCCGGGCCTTTCTGGGCCAAAGTTAACTAATCCCGGGATCCCGGGAACAGTCCCGAAAAAATATATATCATTAGTTTTAAAACCAATTTAAAATAAAACAAAAAACAAACTAACAAACGATATCTTTCGGATTTCACACTAGTCGGAAGAATGGTTTTCAAGAATTCGTAGGCACATTGTACCCACGTTTACCCCCATTAACAAATAATTCCATTTCTTTTATCAATCGGGCCTTGGTGAGTTCCAAATGGGGCTGTAACTTACATTGAAATTATCAAGTTTGTGACATTTTTTTAGGTTTGACGTTTGAAATATGTTATATTATAGGTTTTGTACATAAATTTATTCTACAGTTACCTGTAATTTTACATTTTCTTTGCTGATTTTATGCTATAGATGGAACCACTCTTGCTATGTAATTTCAATGTATTTTCATTATTGTACGGCGGTGTATAATAATTTGACTTGAACTGAGTAAAAAAATGAAGTGTTTATACATGCTTATGAGTATTATAATATGAAAAATGTCATACGCTTAAAAAAAAGTCTATTTTATTCTTTGTAACTTATTACTAAGATCCCGGGATTGGCACTTTTAATCCCGGGATTTTCGGGATCGGATTTTTTACGGGATCCCGGGGCCCCGGGATTTTGGGATCCCGGGGCCCCGGGATTTTGGGATCCCGGGATTGACACCCCTAATCCAAACCTCTTTATCTTTGTGGTTTCATATTTTTGCTACAAATATATAACTGGCAATTTCAATAAAACTCGATTATAAATAAAGATAGATAAAAAGGTTTACGTAAAAACAAGAAAAGTAGATAATTTGAAAAACTGTTAGTTTCATCTACAACTTTTAATGCGTTGTCCAACTTGAGTAAAAACACCCAGTATTAACTTTAAAAAGAGGTTTATTTTAGGCAACAGATACTACAGCTTATAGTATGGCTTTTACATGCTTTATGTTGGCGTTGCATCCAGAAATACAGGTAAATATTTTTATAATGAATTTACCAGGTTAAAATCAAATACAAAAAATTAAATATTACTAGTTTCTTTAAGAAACTTTCTTGACCCATTACTGGTAATATTCATAAGAAAAAATTGAACCTACACCTCGCAAAGTTTTTTGTTTAGAGTGCGTTCCACCAACATCAAATACCGACATACAGCTATTTCGACCTATTTTGGGTCTCATTAGTGTCGGGAAACTTGGTGTAGTGGAACACACTCAAAACAAAGGACTCCCTGAGCTTATATGCTGGGTTGGTAAGCCAACAGAGGCGAGATGTAAGAACATGTGGATCACCTGATGTTCTTACATTTCGTCTCTGTTGGGTTACCAACCCAGCATATAAGCTAAGGGAGTCCTTTGTTTTGAGTGTGTTCCACTACATCTAGTTTCCCGACACTGATGAGATCCAAAATAGGTCGAAATAGCTGTCTGTCGGTATTTGAAGTTGCTGGAACGCATTCAAAACAAAAAACTTTGGCGAGGTGTAGGTTCAATTTTTTCTTATAAATATTACTAGCTTACAAACAGTACTTGAATATCATCGAAATCAATATTAATACCGAACCCAAAAAGTTCTGGTCCTATATAAATAGCAAAAAAAAGACCTACAGAATATCAGGCAGGCTTAGATTAAATAATAACTCACTGGAAAATCCAGAGGATATCGTTGACAGGTTTGGCGACTATTTCAGTATTTATGAGCCTCATAACCCCAATGTCATTTATCCAGCTTCTTTTAAAATGGCCAATCTTGTATAACCTTATAAAAATGTACAGAAAGTGATCTATTGGAACCAAGCTACCTTATTACTAGTCTTTCAATGTCCAGGACCCAATCCAAATGTTATGTGAAATCACACTTCTATATAATGCTCTTAATCTTTAATTTAATAAGCCATTTATGTGATACAACATTTTACTAAATAGTCTAATAATTTTTTTAAATTGTTAAATAGGCTTTTGTATTTTTGATATTTAGAATATTAATTAATTTTAAAATGTTTTATTTTGAAATATTTTAAAATATTTATACATTGATGTAAATTTATATTGTCTCCTTAAATTGGAATTTAATTCTGTTGGAAAGTTATTAATATTTATTATTAAAGACCTAACCTCCCTCCGAAAATTTGCATTTTTAACCGATTTTCGTAAACTTCCTTGTTGTTAAATAGACCTCTAAAAGGACTTTTAGATGTATTTGGCACTTCTTTTGACGACTAAAGTTATGGCCGTGTTTTTTTTTTGGTGTTTAAATTAAATTTTTTGCGACGCCCCCTAAAAAGCTTCGTTTTGATAAAAAAAACACTGGGAAATTTTTTTATTTTTTTTAAATTAAAACAACACGTGCCTCAAGATGATCTAAGTTAATTTTTTGGTATAATTGTGTTTTTTTGGGAATTTTTTATGAAAAATAAAATTTTATTCGAGATATAAACAATTTTAGAACCCAAATCAATAAAAAAAACAATAGTTAATCGAAATAACAATAGACAAAAATTTAAATTCAAAAATTTGGTCTATTAAATAAAAAAAATGAAAGAGATTCAAATTAATATTTTTATTTTAAAACTAGAACAAACATAATTTTAATATCTAGATTTCTTTACTCCAAGGTGAAGTTATTTCATTGTTAATAACTTTTAAATCTCAAAAAAATTATTATTCCATATTTTCAGAAAAGACTTGGTTATACCAAAAAATTAACTTAGATCGTCTTGAGGCACGTGTTGTTTTTAATTTAAAAAAAAATTAAAAATTTTCCCAGTGTTTTTTTATCAAAACGAAGCTTTTTATGGGGCGACGCAAAAAAAATTAATTTTTAACGACCACCCTAGTGTAGAAATATAGAAAAGAACTATTGTTGCAAAAATGGCGAATGTGCCGGCAATAATTAATTATAGAATTTGTTTATCTTGAGTATCATATTATTATTATAGATATTATAGATATTATATCATAGTCTCACATAAGTATTTTGTTAAATACACAGCAAAAAAATATTTGTTAATTTTAACCAAATGTTAACTAGATTTTATGTTAATTCAGGTACACATAACTTTTTGTAAAGTTTACAACCAACTGTAATCTGTTAACTAATTGAATAAGTAGTTTGTAATTATAAAACAAACATTTTGAAGATTTAATAACAAAATACTATGTCAATATTTTAACCATAATTCTTGTAATTTTGTATTTTTACAAACCTTTTTGTAGACCCAGTAACAAAAGTATTTTTTGTAACTCTCGGAAGTTACATGAAAAGAATTTTGATAAGAAATTTTGCTTTTTTAGTCAATTTTATAAACAACAAAATTAACACATACCTACATAACTAAAATAAACTTACACACAATTAAATAACATAATTCTGAAATTATCAAAATATAAAGATATTTCTCCGCTTTTCTTTAATTTCGTTCGTGTTCCTCGCCACCATCGATAAACAGCTGTTTCCCCTTATTGGAACATCAGTACCGAGTTGCTGTACGGTGCGGAACACAAACGAAATTATGATTTCTCGTCCTTATAAAGGTTTTGAAATCATTCACTGCGGTGAGGCGAAAGTAAGTGGTGCCATCTACCGTCTTAAACATATAACATAAAGAAAATGTCAAAAAAAGGTAGATGGCACCAATTACTTTCGTCTCACCGCAGTGAATGATTCCAAAACCTATATAAGGACGAGGAATCATAATTTCGTTTGTGTTCCGAACCATACAGTTAGTTAAACTTGTTAATGGGTATTCTAAATGGGAAATGTTTTGATTGGCTGCCTGTTAAACAAGTAAATTTAAATTTCAAAAGTATCAAAACAAAACAAAAATTATCTATTTTTAATATAACGTATGTACCTATAGGAAAAAGTGTACCAGGAGGTAATGTCAGTGTGTGGAAACCAGGAAATTGAAACTTCTAACCTTAATGATCTAAAATATACAGAAATGGTGATAAGCGAAGCTCAGAGATTATTTCCAGTCATACCTATGATTGGCAGAACAAATACAGTAGACATTGACTTAGGTATTAAAATATAACATTACAACATAATTGTATTACAATTATTATTTAAAATTATAGGTGACAAAATAATTCCTGCCAATACAAATATTACATTAAACTATATGGCACTACATAGAAATCCTAAATATTATACGGATCCTTTAGTTTTTAATCCAAACAGATTTTTACCAGAAGAAATAGCAAAAAGGCCACCCTATACATTTTTACCATTTTCTGCAGGCCCAAGAAATTGTATAGGTAATGACAAAAATTAATAACCAATTAAAAACAAAAATTAATGTTTTTAAATGAAATTACCTTGAAACAATTTTAGGAATGAAATATGCTTTGATGGTAATGAAAACTTCAATAGCTAATATAGTAAGACATTTCTATTTAACGACTTCCCACAAATCTTTTGAAGAAATAGACGTTGAATCTAGTGCAGTACTGATGCCTATAACTCCGTTAGATATTAAGTATACCGAGCGAGAAATAAATTAGATTTTACAAAATAAAAATGGTACAGTTTTACTCGTTTTATTTAATGTTTCCTTTACTAAAATTAGTCGTCAAAATATATACGAGATATGGATATTTAGTTTTTAGCAGGAATGCCAAATTAACTTGATAAAAATTCCATAAATTTGGTGGCAAAAATCTTAGGGATAATATAAAAATCTTTAGAAATGCTTTAAAAAGTGTGTTTTTTTATTTTTAGTTTACATGCAAGTTTCTACTGACCTATTAATGTTGCCGGCAGTAAACTAGATTTAATTGAAAGCAACAATTTCGATTGGATAAATTTCGATTTACACCTTCAAATTTGACGTTTTGACTGTCACGCCCGTAATACAGATTTTAAAGTTAGACATTTTTACGCGAGTTACTCTATTATTTTATATTATTATTATTATTAATATTCGTCGTAGAACAAGTACAGTATGCAACTCGTTTATAAACTTTTCTACACTCATTTAATTAAATTTGTGTCTAAAATGGCGTTTATTAAACTTTATACATAATATACTATTATTACTCTGTTGTATGGGGCGCCGTTTTATTTTTTATTTAGAAATTAATTTTATGTGTTAACCATAGAGTAATATTTTTAATTAGATAAAAAATATTAAAAAGGAATTTTTATCCTGCGAATTAATAATATCATAGCAGATATTTTAAAATAAGATTTAATTTTTATGCCAAACAGATATTTTTAATTTAGTATATTTAAAATATCTGTTTCTTCTATTTGAATTTTTTGTTAAACACGCATTTTAATTCGCTTAATTAAAAATTAGATTTAATTTTTATGCCAAACTGATATTTTTAATTTAGTTAATTTATATTTGTATTTTTTAGTTAACACATATTTATAACTCGCTTAATTAAAAATAAGATTTAATTAAGCGAATTATAAATAAGTGTTAACTAAAAAATACAAATATAAGAAACATATATTTTAAATTAACTAAATTAAAAATATCTGCTATTATGTTATTAATTAATTGGCAGTATAAAAGTTCTAGTGTAATACTTTTATAAATAATTAAAAATATAATAATATATATATAATATATTTATTATAGGGGAGACAATATTTGATAAAAATGTCCGCCATTTGAGGTCTACCATTTTGAATTTTGGAATTCTGATTCCAGATTCATTATCAGCGACCACAAAAACCCCTGTATGGTGATTTTCAATTAATTCCGTCAATTTTTTTTACAAATATGTCCTCCATTTTGGATCTATCATTTTGAATTTTGACATTCTGATTCCAGATTCGTTATCAGCGACCCCAAAAACCCTGTATGGTGATTTTCAATTTATTCCGTCAATTTAATTAAACAAATAAGCAGTTTTAGTGATTTTTTACACTTTTCAAAGCTTTCAAACATACGAATTTTTGAATTAAAAAAAATAATCCTGGTATAGCTTCTTTGGGAAATTTTATGCTCTACAAGAATCCGCGACGTAAAAAATTTTATCTCAAACGGTTCAAAAGTTATAGTCTTTTTAATGAAAAAAGATTTTTTTACGTCTTATTTCAATGGAAAACTTAGAATGCTCACCGACACCTTTTAAAATTGAGCAAAAAATTTTGCCTTGCAGGGAAATTTTTTTTTCGGTATGTAGGTTCATTTTAACCCATAAATCCGATAGGTTAGTTTTTTTGGCTCACCCTAATATATATACATATATTTCATTGTAATTTATATAAGGCTATATGTGATTTGTTGATAAGTAGCATCCACTAATAAAAAATATCAGTAAAATACTTAATTCCGAATTATAATCTCAAATTTGTATCTCATTCATCAGTACCGTGTCGTCAGTTCCATGTTCGATGTTTCGGTTATTTTTTTTTCGCAAACTTCAATTTAAATTCTGCATGCGCAGAACTTGTTTAATTAATGTCATTATAAACTCATATAAATTTCGTGTGGGTCCCATATGTAATAATTGAGATATCGGTATACCCAAAATCCACCAGCCGCCACTGATGTGTGGTATTATTTGATTTTAAGATATTTAATGTATAATATGCTCAAAGTTGCAATAAATCTTATATTTTCCAATAAATTATGTATTTAATTAGTACCCTGGTATACTCGTCACTTCCCTTGCATTCAAATTTAGAAAACACAGATATTTCAGAAACTGTTTGAAAAAGTAACTGGCCCGGTCTGGAACAGTATATTAATATTATCTATGTTCTCATAACAAAATACTGTTTAATTTTTTCCGAAAACTATATAAACAAAATGAGGTCAAAAGTTGCCCAACTTTTGTAGAATCACCCATATAAAGACGAATATAATTTAATTTTTTCATTATAATTGAATTTTTTCATTATTCACTTGATAACGATTGCAGATCTACTAGCAATTAAACCGTCGTGTTTATAAACAAGTTTAGATGATGTCAACCCAGGAAGTTTCAAACAATACCTATTATTACCTGTACACAATTTTACTCATTATTTTGTTTTTTTTTTAACAAGTTTTAAACGTTTAAAACATGTTTTTTATAAAGTGTTTTAAACAGTTAAAAAAAGAACAAAGAACATAAATGTTATTTTAAACAGGTTTTCTTTCAATTTTATCCATGGGCCTCAATTTACGTCCTTGCCCCGGAGCCCCCCACTCCTAGATACGCCCCTAGGGGGACTCAGTATAACCACAAAAATTTCCTTCACTAAGCAACCCCTGGGGCTGTAGCCACACCAACTTATGAAATTTAAATTTGATTTTTAAAACGTAATACACATAGAAAAGTAATCTCTTGATTTAAGAAAATGCATTTATTTGAAACAGGTTTTCTTGTATGAAGTAAAATTTCTTATTCGGAGTAACTTGTTGTTTACAATAAGAAAATACTATTATTTGGTTGTAAATCATAAGTTTCTTAAAAACAACTTATTGTTGTGATTAATTGTAAAGAAATATTTATTTAGAGCAATTAATTAAATTGTTTGGATGTAGGTTTTGTTTTTTTAAGTAAGCTTCTACTAAACCTGAGATAAAAAGTCAACTAGATATTTACTTGTATTAACCAAATATCAATTTAAAAAGTCAAATAAACCCAAGTTTTCCACTAAATAAATAACTTCTTGTAGATTTCAAAATAAATAATTTATTTGAGCCAAGCCAAATATAGTAAAATCAAGAGATTACTTTTCTCCGTGTAAATCCGTTTTGTTTGATTTAAATGGATCGGAGGTTTTAAGAAGTCTATGAAGCAAGTCTTCATTTGTTGCTGTTCTTGATATTTTTTGAGTATGTCCTTGTTCCTAGCCTCCTGAGCCTCCTCCGATCATTGGCCGATTGGCAAATAAAAATGGAGTATATTATATCTCCTCCATGAATTAAAATTTTATGCACCGAAGATGGCATATATTACTAAATATATAGAGACACATAAAGCTCGGCTGTTTCTTGTGCGTATTTCTTAAATTTTTCAACATCTATTTCTCTTCCAGATGCTTAAGCTTGCACAATATCCCGGAACCTGTTAATTAGATTTACATCTACTTTTGTATTACCATCATTGGTAGTCCCTGCTCCTTGTTTATTCTTCTTCCCTTTTTTTCCCAAAATTCTTCCTGAATTCTTAATTTTTCTTATTTTCTTAGGGCCTTATTTTCGTCAGTTCTCACTGTCCATGTTTTAAATGGAAGGTTATAAGCAATATGTAAGACACATTCCATAAACCCAATCCACGCCTGAAGACTTCAAAAGACATATTCTAAAGCTTGTGCATCTATATTTTTATCTCTTACCTATTCATTTCGGTTGGATTTGATCCACAAAGAACACAAGAAGCTGCTGAAGGTGTTCCTGTCAACACTTAAACTACTTTGTCATCCACCATTGTAGAAAATACAGTGTGCTTTACTTTATATTCAGCATTTTCAGTTTTTCAAATTGTTGGCTTTAATGAAGCTATTTGAAGTTTTATGTAGTTTACGGTACATTTCGTTTTTTCTGGTGTCTCTTTAGCATATTCAAATAATATGGATCGGCAATATCTTGTTGAAGAATGGTGTGCATTTTCCGAAATTATATTTCCTATATCATCATTTAACTGTATGGGCACAAATGACATCATGACAAATACTGGCATGAGATGTATTGCCATTGGTAAATATTTGCTTGTATTGGGAATTCCCAGAAGCTCCATCACAACCCCATTTTCCTATAAGCTTCAAATTTGTTGAAATCTCTTCCTGAATGTTTTCACATGATTCCAGGATTCTTATGACTGTATGGTCCATAAGAGGTTGAATTTTTACCTTCTCCTTTGTTTCACTGACTTCTAGCGACTCTCGAATGTATTCGTAGACTGGAAATAATTTAGAATTATGCGAGGGGTAAATCTTAGAGACCAACGTTCAATGTTAGTGGACGTTATGTTGTGATTTTTTTCCTTATCAGTCGTTACCAATAAGGAAAACTTGCTTAATCAGTGCTTATCAATAAGAAATTTCTCTTAACGACGCCTTGCGCGTGACTACAATTGTTATTGCTATTCTTATCCGTTAATTCGTAAGCGATTTAAAAATCAGTGGTAAGAAACAACGGCAAAGCCTCTTCTTTTGTAAAGGGAATCTCCCCTGATTTAGAGGTTCAATATTTCTGTCGTGTTTATGTGTTGATTCATAAAGATAATCAACGCCTTCAATGCCAAACTGTTCTTTGCTCTCGCTCTTTGTGATCTATGTGATAGTTCAACAAAATCCATCTTTGGCCTTCCGGGAGATTTCTTCCTTGGGGTCTTTGAAGTTCCTTTGGATCAGAATTTTTAATTACAAGTTTTTGTTTGTTGCTACTTTAATTTTGTAAACGATTCTACGTATTTCCAAAAAATGCTTCCAGCATCTTAGATAAGGTTTCATTAATATTCGTATCGTAATTTTCAAATCAGCAAAATTTTCGGTTTCAAATACAAAACCCACTAAATCTTTATATAATGTTGTTAACGCAAGGTGAATTTACAAAAGAATACCTACTACCTATATTTGTTAATATTTATATTAATAAAAAACCTACCCAACAAAATTTTTGTTTATTCTTAAAAGGATAAAAACCTCTGTCATTAATCTATTATTAATAATTGTATACCTACATTTTTAAAAATATATGTATACAAACTACTTATCGTTAATCCCAATTTTTACTAACACTTTACCTACCTATATATTCTAACTAATAATAAATTATAATAAATTATATTACTAGGAAAGAAAAAAATTTTATATGACATTTTTAAATACACAATTTATACATACTATATCGCGCATCGTACCGCATTATACATATAAGTTCAGTTTTTAGCACTTTAGATTATTGTTAATAAATAACTTTTTTGTTGGTAAGATTTAACTATAAAATATAATCAAAACCTAAAGCATATAACCAAATATTATTCTGGTTAATGGAACTTTTATATTGTTTTTGCAATTTCTAAAAATGTGACATTTTATCTAGAATACGGCTCTGCTAAGGATTGTAAACATATTTATTATTGCCACTTTTTAAGTCAGAAAATTATTAACATGTCTATACAACTTTTGATACCAAAAGGTTCCTAAAGAAAAATAATACAATAAATAGAAAATAACTTTTAATATAAATTAAAATTACTAGAAATTAAATTAAAATTTCTACAATATCCTAAAAATTATACAATAAACAAAGGATTAATAAAAATAAATAAAATATATCAATAAATACAATATAAAATATGTATGTAGATCCGGAATCTTTATAAATTATTATAATTGCGTTGTAAATTAATGTTTACATAAAAATGTCATTACTATATAATTAAATTATTACAAAATATATAGTTATACTACCATGTACCTGCAATTGATGGTTCTATAATATAATAATTAAGAACCAATAAATTAATTATAATTATTGTATTATTTTGTAAAAATAATACATACTTGTATTTTTTCTTTTTTAAATTATAACCTTATACATACAAAAATACATAAAGGGTGTCCATTTAAAAACGAACAATGTTCTATAAGTCTGGACCTAAAAAATATATCAAAATTTTCTTAAAACCGTTTCTAAGCAACCCCTGGGTCTGCAGCCACCCCAACTCAATTTTTTTAAATGGCAACACCCTCTTTGTGGGACATCATTGGAAAGCTATTTAAAATTGTTATTTAACAGTACTAAAAAATACTTTTAAATTGTTTAATTTTTGAAATATACGCAAAATAATTTTCCAAATTATTAATTCCAATTTCTAGTTATACATATCAAATTAAAGCATGTTTTGTCGTAAAGACGTTAGTAAAAAAACAAAATGACTATCATTATTTTGTAATAAAAAATAAATTGTACAGATTGGGAAAAATAAATGACGCATCCTACAGTAAATTTAATTTCTTAGTAATTAATTATTTTAGAATCTTCAAATTTAAGAGTTGTGCTTATCCTAGTCATATACACAAAATGTAAGGAAAATCTAAGGCAACATTTTTTTATTATTGCGTTTGATTTGGATTTTGATGTGGAATGACCCAATATTTTTTCTTGGGGGCCTCCAGTCAGCATTTTTTAACTTTAATTTTACGCCTAAAGAATAACAGATAATTTTAGACTATTTCTGGGCAGCTGACATTATTTACTGGACACTTTCCCCTTCCCTGTACACAGGGAAGGAGGTTGTCCAGTCAATGACGCAAATACCTTCAAAGTAATATATGGAAGCCGCACTATTTGCAAATGTTCAGTAACAATAGATGCAACATTCAGCAAGTGGGTAGTGTTATAATTATACAAAATATGATTTTTGTATGAGTTTAAATAGTTTAATTTATAGAGACTAGTAACCCAATTATAACATAAAGTATTTTATGGGAATTGTTATATATGTGTTTATTATAGAAGGTATGTACAAAAATTAAATAACTGCCTCTACAGGGCGCGTTTTTTATTGTTTTTTTTTGCTTTGAAAAAGTTTTATAAATGATTTGTATTTATTATTATAAATGAAAACCATAAACTAATATGTGCCATCACAATGATTATTTTATTACATGATTAAATGAGGCATTCTAACACGCAATGGTAGTGCTTTACAAAAAATTTACGATTACGAAAAAATTGAGCCGACAAAAAAACGGTATTTAAAAAAAAATATTTTTTTTTTAAATTTACTTAATGAAATAGGTATACAAAAGGACAGTAAAATAAAAATAAATTAAAAATTTTAGGCAAAGATGTTCTGTGTACTATTGTTGTAAATTTTTAATAATTTGCAACATACAGTAGGTATTTATTTACATAATTTATAAAATAAAAAGCTTTTTTAGTAAAGTTATGACGGCCAATGGGGACATTTTTCCAAAAAATGTATTTATTTAGATGTAAAAAAAGAATAAGCTTTGATAAATCAGTTTTCTGATGAAATTGGGGGTGATTCTAATGCTGAAGATGACCAACCTAAAGTTTAACGTTTTTGTTTATTATTTTGGTCGTGGTTTTCATTCAACAATATTTTATAGGTTACCTACTAATCTTAAAGATTTAGTAAATGTTAGAATTTTGAAATACTAACTTAAATTATATCTATTTTCTCAAACATTTTATTCAGTTAGTGATTTTTTCAAGGATTAATTAAATTTTTTTTGTATACATTCATTCTTTGACTTTGAATTGAATCCAACACAATGTAATATTGTATTATTGGAACAAATAAATAAACTAAACTAAAACTAAACTAATTTAAACTAAACTAATATCATATTGATGAAATTAGCTATAAATTCAGAATTTTTCCTGGGTACTTTTATATTTTAATTTGATTTGGAAAAAATAATATTTTTGATATACAAAGTAGTTTAAGTAAACCAAAAAAAACATATTCTCCAAATTTCATTCAGCTAAGACGAAAATTGCCTTTTGTCATCTTATTCAGTGAATAAATTTTTTTAAATACATACATAATAATAATAATGTATAATCTGTTATCGAAGTTGTATATTGTGTGCCGAATATTTTAATGGATCGTACTAAAAAAAACCGCCGAGACACGGGTGTCATTTTTTAAGTCTATTTTTAAAATCTATAGGAATTTTTCATGGGAGGGACATGGATGTAATACCAAAAAATGCAAAATTTAATTTAAATTATTTATTAGTGTTTTTTTAGCTTAAAATGATTGAATTAGTGCTACTAGCAGTAACCATTTTAGTGGTACTTATGGTGCAAAATAAAAGAAAAGAAAAAGCATATAAAAACTTTTACAAACTCCCACACCCCTTTTGGATTCCAATCATAGGAAATGCTTATTTAATGGTTCAAAGAAGTTTGTATAATTAATTCAAACAGACAATATATATTTTTTGTTATATTTTTAGATTTATTAAAGGCAGTTCAAAAAACCCATAAAATTTATGGAGATTCTTACCTATTTTATTTTCCTCATAGAACCTATTTTTCAACAATACCTGAGGAGATAAAAATTATTTTAAACCATCCACATTGTTTAAATAAAAGTAAAGAATACAACCATTTGCAAATAATAATGCCAAATACCGTTTTTCTTGTTAAAGGTATTTCCATATAATATTTAATAATAAAAATAACAGACATTTTATTATTTTTAGCACAAAGGTGGAGAAAGCTAAGAAAAATTTTATCGAAAAGTTTTAAACCCTCTATTTTGGACTTATTTACAGATATATTTTATGAAAAAAGTTGTGTACTGGTGGACCTATTAAAAAAAGACAATTCCCAGGATATTTGTTATTTGTTTCAAAAGCTTACGTTGGATAATTTTAGCGGTAAAATTAAGACAACTTTGTGGCATTTAAAAATATTTTTATATTTTTTAGAGGCCACGTTGGGAGTTAAATCAACAATTTTACAAGATGAAAAAGAACATATTTTTGTTACGGGTGTTAAGGAGTAAACATACATAAGTTCGATCAGAATTTAATTTTTAAAATCTATTTTTTCAGAGTACAACGTCTAGCATTTAACAGAATAGGAAACGTTATAAAAATGAACGATTTTTTATTTTCATTTATGGAAGATTGCCAAACTATTAAATATTACATGAATGGCCTGTACAAACATATAGGCAAGGTAAAACTAAACAAAAATTTAATTGACAGCAATTAATTAAAAATTGTTTTAAGATTATGACTGAAAAACGGGTGTTAATGGCTAACGAAAATGGTAACAGAGTTATAAACAATTAAATTTTTAATGACTAAATCTTTTAGATGCAATGTTAAATATAAGTAAACTTCCTTTTTTGGATTTATTATTACAAGTTTCTGAAAAAGAAGAACTGACTAATGAATATATAGAGGAGGAGATGGTATTATTTGCGGCAGCAGTAAGTTAACATTAAAAATTTAAAAAAAAATGTTTTTTGTAAGATAAGTCCGCTCTCTTCGCGTAAAAAAGTTGTATTAAGACGAACATCTTTATTTAAATAATTTTTTTTTGGGTTTTTGTTCTTATATTTTTGCTGGTTGATATTTTTCTTAAAAACGATTAACACAAAAATTGTAAAATATTAAACTGGCAATTTTTAAAACCCGGTCACAAACAAAAAAGGTTTATGTAAAACAAAAAATATTGATTTAAAAAAGTGTTACTCATGATTAAATTTTTAACCTTTAATACGTTGTACATTTTGAGTAGAAACACCCTGTATAAATTTAAAAATATTATGTTTATTTTAGGCAACCGATACTACAGCTTATAGTATGGCTTTTACATGTTTTATGTTGGCGTTGCATCCAGACATTCAGGTAAATATATAATATTGAAATAAAAACATAAAAAGCTATATCTATTTAAGAAAAATTAAGTGTTAAGTTATAAAATCTCTACTACTAATATTAAATTTATTATCTCTTGGATGTAAATTTAATACAAATACAAATTCAAATACAATAGTTGAATTTAACAAATTATTTTAAATTTTCTTGTTAAATTACTTTTGATAAAAATAAATTAAATATGTTGCTTCAACAAATATAATTGTATAGGATAAATCTCAGTGGCGGCTGGTGGATTTTGGGCACACTCAGTTATTAGACATGGGACCCACATAAAATTTATATGAGTTAATAATGACATTATATAGACAAGTTCTGCGCAAGCAGAATTCAAATTGAAATTTGCGAAACAAAGTTAGTTTTTAAGTGTGCCCCCCAGCCTCCTACCCCCCAAATTAAGATAATTCAAATTAAAGTGGTACAATATTTAATTCACTGAAGTTTATCCACAAATTTCAAATTTTATTGAAAAAATTCAAGTATTACAGATTGTATACCATTTCTATTTTTTTTTAAATTTTGTAAAAGCAATAATAAAAATTTAAAATGGTATAAAACCTGTAATTCTTGAATAAGCCATAATACTTTTTATAAGCTCTACAAAGCAAGTAAATCAAAGACGGTGACAATGGCAGTGACAGTAGTTGATTATTTTTTTTTTTTTGTTTTTCTTGGCATACTTTGCCTAATAGAATTTATAGTTTGTAAAGAGATCATTAAGTTATTATTAAAACAATCTTTAAATGAGTTTATTAATTTTTTTTTGCTACTAATAAAAATAGTAAAAATGCCCAGTAAGGAAATTGGCGTCTAAAGCCTTTTTCAGGAATCTATCCTACAAGAAAAGTATTAAAAATAGGCAAGTAAAAATAAAACAAAAAACATAAATAAATAATTTTCTTAATTACTTATGTTTCCAAGATACATGGTGATTAAGTGTTACTTATCATATCAGTTTTTTTAATATAACTTCTACTATGGTAGTCTTGGAAAGGTGATATTTTGCGAACTACTACCAAAACACATATTCACACATAATTACAATTGTTTTAGTGAACAGTGTCCTAGAAACGGGGGTTGCTTTAAGCTTATTGTCCCATACAAACTTTGAAGTTAGGTTTTTGTAACATTTGATGCAATTTTTCGATTACACAGTTCGGCTACCATTAAAAAGGTGTAGCTCTCAAACTTCGATAAAATAAACCGTTTCCTAGATATTCCAAAAATGGCGGATGCTCCGGGAATAATTAAATAAAATATAATTTGTTATTAAATAGCTTGATACACGGCCACCTGTGAGATGTACATATGTTTAATGATCTTGTCTACATACTACAAAAAGTAGTTTTTAATGTGCTTGTCAGTAATTATTTTGTTAAATAGTTAAACAAGCAATCTATTTATAACTTATTTATTTGGAAAAATGTTTGTTTACTATTTTACATTGTTTTGTTTTACTTAGACTTTTTGGTGTAAAGCAATTTATGCAAACTACATTGTTTAAATTTGAAATTATTTTAAACACATGTATTTTTTAATGTTAAAAATATTAAAAAAAGAAAATTACCCATTTATAATATAATGTATAACTATAGGAAAAATTGTACCAGGAAGTAATATCAGTGTGTGGATACAAGGAAATCGGAACTTCTAACCTTAATGATCTAAAATATTTAGAAATGGTGATAAGCGAGACTCAGAGATTATTTCCAGTTATACCTTTGATTGGTAGAACAAATACAGTAGATATTGACTTAGGTATAAAAATATTACATTACAACATAACCTTATTAAAATTATTATTTTAAATTGTAGGCGACAAAATAATTCCTGCCAATACAAATATTGCTTTAAACTATATGGCACTACATAGACATCCAAAATATTATACGGATCCTTTAGTTTTTAATCCAAACAGATTTTTACCGGAAGAAATTGCAAAAAGGCCACCCTATACATTTTTACCATTTTCTGCAGGCCCAAGAAATTGTATAGGTAATGAAAAAAATTAATAACCCATTAAATACAAAAATTTATGTTTTTAAATAAAATTAATTTAAAACAATTTTAGGAATGAAATATGCTTTGATGGTCATGAAAACTTCAATAGCTAATATAGTAAGAAATTTCCATTTAACGACTTCCCACAAATCTTTTGAAGAAATAGACGTTGAATCAAGTGCAGTAATGATGCCTATAACTCCATTAGATGTTAAGTATACCGAACGACAAAAGTAAATTAGATTTTACAAAATAAAAATAGTACAGTTCTACTCGTTTTATTTAATGTTTCCTTATATGTATACAAGATGCGGACAATAAGTTTGCAGCAGGGATGCTAAATTTACTACATGAAAATTCCCTAAATTTGGTTGTAAAATCCCTAGAGCTCCCTTGATTTATTTAATACAAACATCATTAGAAACGCTATAAAAGTACTTTTATACGAAATCGGCAGTAAAGTAGTCAACAATCGGCAGTAAAGTAAAAGAAATCGGCAGCAAAGTAGAACTTTACTGCCGATTTAATACGAGTATTATATGCAACCCATTATACATTTTAAGATGTGTCTACTGCATGATATTATCCATATTTTATTCCACTTTAAAAAGTTATATTAGAACGGTCATATTTTGTAATAGGAGTAGAAAAAATAAATTACCTACATAATTTAAACAATAAACTTCTCTACCAAACAACAGATGTCACTAAAACCAACATTTGCCGATATTGCAAAAAGCAATCAACTGTAGTGGCCATTGGAAGAATTAATACAGAAAAAGAAATTAAAACTATTAGACAATTAATGGTCCAGAAATTTTAAATATTAAAAAATAAAAGGATGGGAAAATGATACTTAGATTAGAAAAAAATACAAATTGAAGATAAAATTCTTCGTTAAGTACCTTAAAAACTATAACAAACGAAAAAATAATTTAAAGTTAATGCATATTATAATCGAGTTTGATCCTAAAACTTATTTACTTAGACGCTTATTACCTTTCTCGTTGTTCATAAACAACGCTTTTTAAACATGTATACTTCATAACGACAACTGTGACTCACATAACGAATATTTGAGACACAGGTACGTACTTAAATGATTTTGTTTGACGAAATCTGAATCTGTGTATGTCCTATTCCTATTTCTAAAATAATAAAAAAAATCCCTAGACGTAGGAAGAAAATAACTGATACGTGGAATGAAATTTTTTAATTACCATACGAGAGTGGTTAAGTACCTTAAATCTGGTTAACCATGGAATACTTATGGTATCCCAAAATTTAACATTCAATTCCTATGTAAAATTGCCTCCTGAATCCGAAAATACCGTCAAAATATATGAAAGTGGAGCAGTTTTTGAAATATAGTCAATTTCATATTAAATGGTAAATTGACTATATCTCAAGAAATGTTCTACTTTTTTAACTTTTGACGACATTTTCGGATTCAGGTGACAATTTTACATAAGAAATGGCTATTAAATTTTGGGATACCATGTTATTCCATGGTTAATCATGGTACAAGTGAAAAAGCAGCCACTAATAACTATAGCTAATAGCTATTAAATTAGTTATTTTTGACTAATTCATTTTTAAAAAGTATATATTTATATCTGAATTTAACATGACTGTCAGCAAGTATTATTCACTCTCTTGTTTCTCGTTTTGTAATTTTTTTCTTGTGCGAAAAAATCTGATTAACCGCATTATTTACCTAAGTATAATGAATTAAATTTTCAAGGCCTTTCTCAAGATTTATTCTTATCTTATAATGTCTATATATTTAAATAATTACACAGTACAAACATTTTGTTAATTGTAACCAAATATTAACAAGATTTTATGTTAATCCAGGTCCTCATAACATAACATACAATTAACTGTAATCTACTAACTAATTGAATAATAGTTTGTGATTATAACAAATATATTGTAGATTTGAAAAAAATCCTATTTTAATAATAAAATATAATTTTTGTTATTTTTTTAAAGGACCTATTTTTACAAACCTTTTCGTAGACCCTGCAACAAAAGTATTTGTTGGAAATTTCCTAAACAAATACCTACGTAAATAAACACATACCTACGTAAATGAACACAAAAATAACATACACACAATTAAATATCACATCATTCTAAAATCATCAAATAATAAAGAAATTTTGTACAATATAATTATAAGTACAACACTTACTGATGTATTTCGTAACTTTAATTTAGTTTAAAACCCGGGAATGGCATATTTTTCGGATACTTTGCATTTCGCACACTCGTTAATTAGATATAAGGAATCCGAATAACAGTAATAAAAGATTTCTAGTAATATATTATAAAAACTCTGTACAGTTGTATTTAAAATATTTTTAAGATAATAAGTTGAAATAGTATGTCTTTCTCTGTCTGAGTAGGCCATTTTTACTTATTTAACAAGGCATATTGACATAATGTCACTATAGTAATTTATTTTCAATAAAAATTTTGGTATACTGATTTCTAAAAGTTTAAAAAATATTATATGAATTATGCTCAGAATTTTACAAGGAATCAAAAAATAGATTCATATATAGGGTGATCCATTGAAAAAAAACAAACTTTTTGCTTTTCCCTGTATACTGATTAATTTTCCAATTTTCTTTATACGTAGAAAAAAAGTATTTTTTAGTACCTACATAACCACACTTTTAAATTTTTTGGGACACTTATAATAAAAAAGTTAAAAGGGGGCGATATTATAGGGGATCACCCTGTACATAGACATGGACCGCAATTTTTTTTAATGTAGAGTTGGGATTAAATAAGGCTGTTATAATGTAGGTATGGCTTTAAAACAACACATTACCAAGCAGTTCACAATCATTACATGGTGGAGTTCCCAATCGTTACATAAGCCAACGATCTTGGACCACCAATTTGAATAGAAAAAGTATCGTTATGGTACTCAGGACTCGTTTCGTCCATTCGTACACGAACGAGGTCGGTATTTATTAAATTTAATGTCACGCAAGAAGATTTTATCTCTGGCTTTCCAATATCAAAATTTACCTAACCCTTACCCTATGCCTGACTGAGGACTGTTCGCAATGTTGGAAAACATATGGTGCCAACTCTTCAATACATACATTTTAAGGTGGTAATATTCCCGAAGGAAAACTATGTAAAAAACACTACAGTATACGTATACGTTTATTTTTATTTCGATAGTATATTTTAGACTTTGGCGGTACAATGACATTTGTACAGGCTAAAATAAGAAATGTACAGGCTAGTTTCATATTATGACGATCAATTTGGGGGTTTTGTTATTAATTTCAGCGTTTCACAATAACACTTTTAAGACACCCTGCACTGAAAGAACAGTTTATTTACAATTAATGATGTTGTTTAACAATAAATAAAGGATTTATTCGATAATGGCGGTATATATATTAATTTTTTAAAAACAAATAATATATTGGTATTACTTTAATATACTTTTTTTGTGGTAAATAAATATTTATTATAAACAAATACTTTATTTGTGAGAAATAAAATTGCATTAAAAAAAACCAAACTCTTAAATATGCCATTTTAATAAATAGTTAATAATTTATAAAAAATTAACAAACAGATATTTTTAAAAAACAAATTGTTATTTAAAGTGACAAACATCTAAATAAACTAAATTGATTATAAATAACCTGGGAAGTAATTATTAACATTAATATATTTACACAAATTTTATTATTAAGGGACGTATTTTCTTTATAATTTTATAAGAGAGCATTTATATACCTACAATAGGTATTAAAACTTACTGCAGGTTAAAAATATACTATAGTATAAAATAAACTTATTATGATTTATATCTGTAATTTTATATGTTAATCGAAGTATATTGTTAAACCGAATATTGCAGTAATTTTCAAAATGCTCTTCTGTAAAATTATAAAAATGGGATTGTGAGATTGACGACTATAGGTATGCAAAATTTATTGTAAATATATACATATTTAATACAAATGCAGTTCTGTCTTAATTATTTACTATTAATCATAAAATTTGTTAACCTGAATATTGCAAAAATCTTATCCAGTAAAATTATAAAAAATCTCTAAAATTATAAATCACTTTGTGAGGTTGAGGACGATATGTTGATATAAAATGTGCTTTAGTTTGGGTGATTTTTAAAATTAAATACTTGTGTTAATATATAATATATAAATTAATATTAGTTTGGATAAGATCTGAAGATGCTACTGTGTAGCGAAACAATTGTTATATTTAAATAAAAAAAAGTGAAACTTTTTAGTTTTTAGTTTATATTAACATATTATTAACATGGAGTTTTATCAGGTAAAAGTCGAAACAATTAATTAAAATACTTGTTTTTTTTTAATATGATTTTATTAAGAAAGCGAAATATATTTATTTATATATTGTATAGAAGGCAATATTTTAAAACTCTTAAATTATATTCATAGACCTATTATTTAAAAAACATAAATAAACTTTAAAAAATAAAGATATAGAATAATAATAATATATCCTTTAAAACTATATTCATAGCATCGTCACGGGCGATATCTGCTAATACTTTAAAAGAATCTACTCCATTATCTGAAAAAATTTGTTAATAATAAATATAACCTGATTTTCTTTAAAGTCATCTGCTTAATAATTAACAAAAGAATTTATAGTAAATATACTTTATTTATTATTAATGCATCCCATGGGATAGTCAACACGTGGAAACATCTTGAAACAAACTGCGACAAAATTCAACCAATACTGAACGAAATAACAAAACATTAATTATTATTTTTTTTTAATAACTCATAAACTTACCTTTAAAAGTATTAGCTAGATCTTCTAAACCGTATAACAGTTTAGAATCTATTATGTCCATGTCAACATCCATGTTTAAGGACCTATTTTTGTTTTGTTAGCATTCAACACCATAAAAAAATATTATTATGTACTTACACAATCACTGCAACAGTTTATACGCAATACAAATTTTCTTATTATATGAAAAATGATGCAAAAGCACAAACAGAGCATAAACCACCACCACCTTTATCAGAAAAGATGTAAACCACCCACTACGTGACATTTTAAAGTGAAGTGAATCGTCCGAGGTAAAACGATGCGTTTCGATATTCCATTTGTTAATTATTAATATATTATATTTCTTACAAACAATATGATTTAATATTTAGAAAATGTGATTTATATAAATAATCCTTTTTTACGAAATAAAAATTTCGCAACTATTAATAAACAATATTTATTATTAATAAACTGTGAACTAGATACGAATATAACGTATATTTACAATAAATTAATAAACAATTATATTTGACACAAATTTAGTATATTAATAACAAATAAATTCGATCCAAATAAATAATTTTTTTTATAAAAAATAAATTAAACTTCAGAATATATTGTTAGCAAATAAAATTGATTTACAGCAAATTTGCTGTATTTATTATAAATAAAAACGTCTCAAATAAATATTTATTAATTATTTTTTCAGTGTGTAAATATAATGTAAATGTATTTGAAATATATAAAAAAATATATATATATATGAAAAAGCTGATTCTTTTTTAATATCCTCATAAATATTTAACATTTGAGTCATTAACAACAATTTTAGCAAAATTAATTATAATATATTTTTTGAACATCCTCGATGAGCACAATTCTAAATCTAACAATGCATTTTTTTGATAGCCATCTATATGTAAATTTTATTATGTAAAAGAGTTCTATATAAATTGCGATCAAAAATTTTTTGTTTAAAATGTCTTAATACTAGTTGTAGGTGAGTAAATAAATAATTTATTTTTACCAGTAGAAATATAGATAATTATTAAAAAATATGTATCAAGCACAAACGTGTATTTGTTCATATAATTGATTTATTTATTCTTATGATTATGTTTTTCTAGTTCTTTTTAGGTATTATTGCCATTTTAATTATAATTGGATAAATTATATAAATTTGTTTACATATATAATATTAATTGGAACATAATATTATATTTTTATTCCCATTTAATTGATTCACATTTTATACAACTTAACAATGATGGTTATGGTAATTTTAATATTTATTTCGGTCGTTTTGTTTCAATTGTTTTACAAGCATAAACATTATAAAAAGTATAAGGATTTCTACAATTTACCAACACCATTTTATTGTCCTATAATTGGAAATACATATAAAATGGTTAACAAAAGTAAGTACATTTTTTAAGTTTATTTTTAAACAATATTAAACCTTTAATTTTAAGACATATTAATTTTTATTAATGAACTTTTAAAAAAATATGGAAATCCCTGTGTTTGTTATTTTCCACACAAAACATACATAACAAGCAAGCCAGAAGAGATAAAAATACTTTTAAACCATCCCAATGTATTGGAAAAAAGCTTGGAGTATAACCATTTAAAAATATATCTCAAGAAAAGTTTGATGCTAGCACCAGGTAAGCAAAAATTAAAATCAATGAACTAAAATTGGAGATAACAGATGATGTCTGCGATATATCAAGAATTGGTAATCTCGTTAACTTTAAAAAGTTGTTGTTATTAATCCACACAAAAGTTTTTTTTTGCATGATCTTAATTACTAAATTTATGCAACAAAATTCCTGTTACTTAATTGGTATTTTGTTTAATGTATTTTTGTTGTTTATAGTGGATGACTGGAGGAGACAAAGAAAAATGATTTCAAAGAGTTTTAAAATAAAAATATTGGAATCGTTTGTGGGGAGGTTCTATTTAAAAAGCGAAAATTTGTTAAAAATGATAGAGCAGAACAAATTTAATAATGATGTTTACACTTTATTTAGAGAATTCACGTTGGATGCATTTTGTGGTAAAACAACGCTATTTGATATAAGTAAATTATTTTTATTTTTTTATAATTGTAGAAGCCAGTATCGGTATAAAATCAAATATAATGGGAAACAAAAATCATAAGTTTCTAAGTGGTGTAAAAGAGTGAGTAGATTACCAGATTTATAATTAACAAAAAATAATTATCTAAGATAACAAAGTGACAAAAGCATTTGGTAATTTTATAATGCAAATGTTTTCTATGTGGCTAAATTATATACAGGGAGATTCATTCATTTTAAGTAAAAATTCAAAATGAGATTAACTACTTCGCTAAATCGCTTTGTTTTCAGGATGCATTTTTTCTAATTCTTTTCATCAGTAAAAAAACCCTATTCTGATTTACTAAAAATATGTTGCGCCACTCATGTTTTGGATAAAACAATTAATAATCAAACTGTTTTGTCTTTTTATCGTCTTTTACATCTAAAAAAAAATATCTTCACACTTCTAAAGCAAGTGAAAAATACCAAGAAGTATATCAGATATTCGGAAAAATCAAATATAAATTTTTAATAATTAATATTTACACTGTAGCATGCAATCTTGTTCTAATTTTTTTCGCAATAATAATTAATCATAGGGTCCACCAAATATCCTTCTATCTGTATACTTCTATGGGTATTTTTTATTTGAAGACCTATAAGGTCGATTAAATTAGAAATAATTAGAAACAAGCCTATTAAAATGTAATTAATAAATTATAACTCCGATATTTCTGAGAATTTTGAAAAACGTAAGTTTTACATGTTAACATATAAATTAATCTATATTTTTATCCAATTTCCTCGCTACTATATTATAAGTAACCATCACCGTCTTTTGTTTTTAATTTGGCCGATATAGCTTATATTTTTTTATCTAATGCAATATGGCGGCCATAGGAAAAACAAAGATGGTGGTGGTAACTCAAAATCTAGTAAAAAACTGGATAAAAATGTAGATATAGAGGCGGCCAAATTATATTTAAATGATATTTAAATGTTTAATATTCTAACCTTTCTGGTAGAAAATCAGTCCTCTACTACTTTGTTCAGAGCTTTGAAGGTAGAAACAAAAGGAACTATCTGAATGTGACTTACATCCCCAAGAACGTCAAGTTTTCTGCAAGCATTTCCTTTAAATATATCGCCCTGATAATTTTTTGAAACCAATTTAAGCTTCTTAGGCCAAATCAAGGCTCTTTCCTTACCTAGAATAGGAACTAAGCCATCTCAAAAAAGATGATTAACATATGCTTGTAAGAGGGTTGACCCTTCTCTTTTTGTGGAAGAGGATGACACTTATGTTGCTGAGAAGTGTATCATTGCTGATAAGCTTGATATCTTACAAGGATATGTTAATCAACTTTTTTGAGATGGCTAGATTTTGCCTAAGAAACTTAAATTGGTTTCAAAAAATTATCAGGGCGATATATTTAAAGGAACTTGCTTGCAGAAAACTTCTCAAAGAATCTGACAAACTTCTTGAACTTGAACGTTCTTGGGGATGCAAGTCCCATTCAGATAGTTCCTTTTGTTTCTGTCTTCAAAGCTATGAACAAAGTACTAGAGACGTACTACTTTTCTACCAGAAAGGTTAGGAAAGAGTTGGATAAACATATTAAACATTTAAAGATTATTTATAAAGCCACGGGTGTTTCTGAAACTCTAAAAATACACGTTCTTCTGGAGCAAATTCAACACTCTTTATAATTTCTTGGTAGTAGTGGGCTAGGGTTGTGGTCTGAACAACCGGGGGAGTCTATTTATAGGAAGTTATTATATATAAAATATTGAAGTCTACATAAAATAAACCCAATAGACGACCTTAGCTATGTATTCCACCTAAAAAAGGCAGTTGTTAAATTATCGTCTCGATATCTTTAATATAATCTTATAATCTTAAATAATTTGTTATATGTTATATAATATTTTTTTGGTAACTTTTAATTGTGTTTTTTATTTAGTTTCAATTAATTTGTCCATTACAAAACTCGTAAACTGTTCTCGTGCGACAAAATGACGTCTTATGACATTAGATATTTAATATACTTTTATCACAATCCAATGTTCACAATGTTCGATCTCGTAGTAAAAATACTAAAAATTACTGCACATCATACGATGGCGGCCATTTTTGTTGTGTTTCTTACAGAGAGACTTGCAAACCTTAAGAGAGACCTCAAAGTGGTAAGAACTCCTCTTTTGTAAAAAATAAGCCTTATTCTATCAATTGTCAATTTGAAGGTTAATTTGTGGGTTATAAAATAACCTTAAATTAACCTTCAAATTGAAATTTGACAGCCCTGATAGAATAGGGTTTATTTTTTACAAAAGAGGAGTAAAATTATTGTTGTTACCACTTTGAGGTCTCTTTTAAGGCTTGCAAGTCTCTCTGTAAGAAACACAACGTTTAAAACGATTATTAATCTGTACAAACCCAAAGCACAAGAATTGTAAACAACAAAAATGGCCGCCATCGTATGATGTGCAGTGTTGCAGTGATTTTTAGTATTTTTACTACATCATCGAACAGACCTTGTTGTGTGGATTGTGACTATTATAATAATCTGCAACAAACGATGCTTACGGACAAAATGTCAAAACCATATTCGTTTTATTTATTTTTAAAGTTGGGACGTTCCTACTGATAAACCCTTTACTTTATTAATAAACTCGTTTGTCAAAATTATTTTATAATAATTATTGTTATTGTACTTTTTAGAGCCCAACGCTTGGCATTTACCAGAATTGGAAATATAATAAAACAGAATGATTTGTTATTTTCATTTATGACCGATGGTAAACTAATGAAGAAAAAAATTACAGATATGCATGAATTTATTTCCGGCGTAAGTACTAAAACATTTAATACTTAACATAAGGCGTTTCCACGGTTACCATTTTAGTAACTATGTGAATAGTTTAAATTATTTCTACTACGTAAACAATGATTTAATATAAATTTGGCAACAAAAATAACGACCTCGAAATTATACCATTTTTAAATTGACGATCTTTAAACTTCAGCCAAGGCCTATCCACTTTAAAAAATAAATATACAGTGTGGTTCTAACTTGTGAAATAAAATAAGCTTTAGTTTTTTATGTATAGTTAAAGTGTGTAGTTACGCTTCGCTTCTGTCTACTTTAAACACTGTGATGTTTGATATTTCTAATATTTGTTTGTGTGATAATGGGGACGATTTGTCTGAAATAATATAAATTATTAAACTTTATTAAAACAATATATTTTACTTTTTAGGTTATTTTAGAGAAGAGAAAAAATAGAGGTAATTTATTTATTATAATAAATATAAACTGAACTCTATTTAAATATTTTTCATTTATAGATCAAATAAATGAAGATCCACATAACCTTCCACTTCTAGATTTATTATTGCAAGAATCCCATGAAAAAAAATTAACAGATGATTACATACAGGAGGAGATGATCATGTTTGCATCTGCGGTAAGATTTTTTTGTGATAGGGGTTTATATTTTATGTATATCCCATACAGGATGTTCCAAGTTTTATTAAGAATAATGGATAGATGGCAGTTGTAGAAAGTATTTCCATCAAAGAAGATTCTAATGTTAAAGTATTGCACCTGTTTTAAAAATTAATTAATATTTTAAAGAGTTTCTTTAATATGCTTCAAAATAAAGATAATTTTGCTAAATTTATTATTTTGAAAGGAAATACATTATTTTTTTAAATACTATACTATAGATTCCCTGGTCTATTACCAAAATTTTAGTTTTTTAAATCTTGCTTCGTCTAAAAAAATTTAAGAAAACAATTTTAAATTTTACACTAGAATCATTTTAGAAAAAATATTTTTTAAGATATAAATGCATACCAGATTTAAAATACTTTTTCTACTCCCACCTTTAAAACGACCATTATCGTACATGTTTCCATGACACTAAGTGACCTTTTAAATACACATTGACAAGTTGTGGCTTTACGGCGTTTTAGTCACGGGCTGAAGTTAGTTGACAGTTGTCAAATGTCAAACAATCGTTAAAATAAAGTGCCTTTGTTGTAAAATAATACTAAATGTGAAAATTAAATCTCAATACAAAAATACAAAAGTATTAAATAGTTTCTCAACGCCAATATTTGAAAAGTTTATATGAACATTGTACTGACCTTTTAATTTCGCCGGCAGTAAACTATAACTTAAATTCGGGCACGGACTCCACTGTAAAGTGCTCATAAAACATTTTCTTTACTTTCACTGTGAAAAACTGTCCATTTTCAAGAAATACATTTCGACTTATAATATGTTTTTATAAACTATAAAAATTTGACATTTGACGGTGACACACAGATTCCCCTATTGTTTCATAGATGGCGCTCTATAAAAATATTTGATTTAAATCATTTTAAGATAATAATAAGTATTTGTCGTAGAAAAAGTATAGTATGCACCTCGTTTATAAACTTTTCTATACACTAATTAATTTAAGAACTCGCTCGCAAGCTCGCTCGTGCCTAAATTAAATTCTTGTATAAAATGGCGTTTATCAAACTTGATACATAATATACTATTATCTATTTTGCGATTATAATAACTTCATTATAACCTCGCTTTCCGTGCTGTAATAAGATCCTTTATCCTACCCAAAATTTTGATTTTATAGGTTATAAGCTATACTTTAAACAGCATAATATTTTGCATATTGGTTAAAATATTTTTATGATTTTTCTAGTACTTTCGAGACTTTTCTGGCAATAAATTTTGTTTAACACCAAAGAAAATCCTTTTTTTCTTCTTTAACATTAACAGCCGCTTATTGTAAATAAGTAAATTAAGGACGGCATGGCAAATCGATTTTGACATTAACTGTCAAACCAATGACTGTGATATCATCTAAAGTAAAATTGGACCAAATTAAATTTATAAAATTAATTTTTTTTACAGATTTTTAGCAAAATAGATAAAGTTTTTATTAAAGAAACTCCTAAAATAAATAAAACATTAACACAACGTATAACTTTCTACATTTAATTTTAATGCGTGCCATCAAAACAGATGAATCAAATTAGTTGGGGTGGAAATTTAGCAGTTATTGACTTAAAAAAAACAAAATGCATGTCAATCAATCAATTTAAATATTTACTGTAATGTAACGTAATTAATCCCGGCGCATTCGCCATTTTTGTAAATAATACGTTTTATATTTTTTCTTTTTAAATTAATAAAAATATGAAAATATAAATGTTTCATATACAGGGTTTTCATTTTTTTAAGGCTAAGCATGTGTACCAAGTGCTAATAATTTAAAATATAAAATCTTAACAAGACAATAACTTAAAAGAAACAAATACTCATTATTTTTAGGCTACAAATACTACAGCACATACCATAGCTTTTACATGTTGTTTATTAGGAATGCACCAAGAAATTCAAGTAAGTTTAATCATAAAATAACATACAATTTTAAAATTATAATATTTTAAGGAAAAAGTTTACGAAGAAGTAATGACAGTAATAGGTCCTGATAAGGAAATAGATAAATACCATTTAGGATTGTTAAAATATACAGAAATGACAATAAATGAAGTAATGAGATTGTGTCCTGTTGTTCCAATGGTAGCAAGAAAAACAACTGCTGATATAGACTTGGGTAACTAAATAGTACTAAGTATAATTGGCATTTAAATGTAAACAGGTTTAAAGGCAAAATTGTATAACAATTATGTTTACTATACGGCAATTTACCTTGAAAATCAGCTCATTTCTACATTAAAAAAAAATTTATTCCACCGATTCTGTGTGTATAAATAACGAGAGAATCACGGGTTACACTGAAACAACGAAATCCTCCTTCAAAAAATTACATCACAAATATAAAGTTTTTCATGCTCTGATTTTGTTCCCGTTGGCCGATTTTTTCTATCACATCTAGATTTTGTGATATGAATTTTTTTTCAAAATATCATAAATTTTGGTTTTTCTTAATTTTTTGTATGCGTAAACATTATAAACAATGTATATACATACAAAATTGGTATTAGCGAGTCGTAAGAGATTAAGGAAAGTACCGAAATTGATTTTTATGGTAGTACATATGCGCTTGCGCAGTATTTGCTGTGACTTTACAGCATTTGATAACTTGTCGTTTAATTGCAATTCTTTACGTTCTATATCAAATATTTTAGTAAGTTTTGTACAAAGATCATTTTCTTTATATTTTATGTATAGTTTATGTAAAACTTAAGCCATAGTATTTTTTCACTTTTTTGTAATTGTTGCTACTTTAATAATATCGGTTTTTATTAAGTGAAAATAATATTTAAAAACTATGTGCTGTATTTATTTGGACGATACTTCATAGTACCTAGGGTGCGCTATTTTGAAGCTTTGATTTAACGACATTATATCGCGAAGTATAAACGAAGTATTATAGGGCCTACTATATGTATGTATGTTAATTTTTTAGAAAATAAAATTATACCTGCCAATACTGGAGTTATCTTAAATTTTTTTTGCTTGCACAGAGATGAAAACATATATTTAAATCCACTCATTTTTGATCCCAAAAGATTTTCTTCTGAAGAAATTGCAAAAAGGCCTGAATATTCTTTTTTGCCATTTTCTGGAGGACCCAGAAATTGCATAGGTCAGTTATTTGTTTTCCTAAAAAAGGTATAACAATTAATTATTTTCACATTTTTTAGGTTTCAAATACGCAATGATGCTTATGAAAACAACCATCGCAAATATAGTACGGAAATTTAAGATAACATCAAGACATAAATCGGTTAATGATTTTAAGCTTATTTCTAATGTTGTTATGACTACCACACATCCATTAAATTGTAAATTTAATTTAAGATAATAAAATACATAATTACTATTTTAAAGTTTCATTTTAACCAAATAATCCTTCATTTTTTGTCTAGAGAGGAACAGGTAATTTCGTCTTATTTTTTAAAAGAAATACAATACATGTATATTTTTTGTTCTAAATTAACACATTTATACAAAAAAATACATATATTGCATTATTTTCAGAAAATAGGACGTAATTAGCGTTCATAAAAAAAGAAGTGGGACTTTACATAGTATCTTCAATATAAAAACGAACTAAAATGTTTCTATGTATTATATACTGTATTTTCATTTGAAATATATACACTCGAATAAACCCGAGTGAACCCGAACGCCCCTACCAAGATGTATTGTAAGCGGGTTGCCGTAGGCGACGATTCAGTTATGTTTTGCATTTGCATTTTTATTTCGAGCGTTTTAACATAAATTAATTTCTTTTATTTAAAATTTTAAGCAATAATGTCTTACACATTGCAAGAGAAAATTGAAATAATAAGCTGGTCTTTAGTGAGCAATACTTTACGTGAAATAAGAGACCTATTGTCAGTTAAATATCCGGATCATTTTATTCCGTCAATTTGAACCATAACAAACGTTATCTAAAGGTATAAGACTAACGGTTTTATTTAATTAATTTTTCTACTCCCACCTTTAAAACGCCCTTTATCGTACATGTTTCCATGACACTAAGTAACCTTTTAAATACACATTGAAAAGTTGTGGCTTTATGGCGCTTTAGCCACGGGCTAAAGTTAGCAACAGGTTTTTAGTCACGGGCTGAAGTTAGTTTTAAGTTAGTTGACAGTTGTCAAATGTCATACAATCGCTTAAATAAAGTGCCTTTCTTGTAAAATAATACTAAATGTGAAAATTATTTTATTATCTCAATACAAAAACACAAAAGTATTAAATAGTTTCTTAACGCCAATATTTGAAAAGTTTATATGAACATTGTACTGACCTTTTAATTTCGCCGGCAGTAAACTATAACTTAAATTCAGGCACGGACTCCACTGTAAAGTGCTCATAAAACATTTTCTTTACTTTTACTGTAAAAAACTGTGCATTTTCAAGAAATACATTTCGATTTATAACCTTTATAATCTGTGTTTATAAAATACAAAAATTTGACGGTGACACACAGATTCCCCTATTGTTTCATAGATGGCGTTCTAGAAAAATATTTGATTTAAATCATTTTAAGATTGTAACGATTTTTTTTTTTTTGTTATATTTTTATTTACTTTTCTTTCCAATTTCAATATATAATAAAAATACAATAAGTTTATTTCATTATTTATGCAAATGGATAGACATGCTGTATAGTATAAATAATTAATTTCAATGTTGACCGGTCGCTGAACGTCGTGAAGTTTTTCTAGTGGTTTTTTTTCATTCCTTTCCTTATGACTTCCTTCAGTTTAAAACGAACTATTGGCCAGTTATGACGATACTCTGTTTTGTGAGCTTTGTGAAAATTTCTTGGGAATTTTGAAGTTAATGTTCATCGTCTAAGACGGATTAAAGAGTACGTCTAACCAATTCCTTTTTGGGAAACGACTTCGTCGGATTTATGGTCCAAGCTTGTTCTTTTTAATTCTTTTGTTTTTGGAGAGGAACCTCCGCATCTCAACGGAGGTAAAGTACAGTAATACTGCTCAAAGGTATGTTTTTATATGTATACCTTGTAGGTTTCAGTTTATCATTAGAAGATTCTATCGGTAATTAGAAAATTACACCCTGGTAATATACCTCCTATATTCACGAATACCAGAGGATTTTTCGTCCACCTCCAATATCACGCAGCCCGGCAACCATCTAGTTGGTGTTTCCAGTTACCAAGGTCCCTATCCAATAAGGGTAGATCGGGAATCCCGCACGTGGAATTCTCCTATCCGCCATTTTGACGTCATTTCCGGCAGTTGGTGATTTCCTGCCGTCAAATCCCCTAACTCAGGTGACCTCCAAGCCGATGGCTTCCATATTGTATTCTCAAGTAGGTGCTGAAAAATAATACTAGTTTAAAGAAGTAATTACTGATTACTTATTAATCAACCTCATTCTACATAATTCTAAAACCATATATATATAAACTAATAGACAAATTTTCTAGTAAACTTATTCAAATTAAAATAATATTAACAATACTTACCTGTACAACTAAACAAACTCTTCGCTAAATACACCTAGCCTCATAGTATTTCATTTTCTTGAATTTGTACCTTTTGGTTTAATATATTATACCTACCGCTTCCTTTACTGATAGGTATATTGGTGAAAAGTCTACAACCTTATATACAGGATTAAATCTGTCATAAAATTAATTTCTTGTAAAGAATACTGAGCTCAATATTTTACTAACCCGATATATTTCTTCTTCAAAGAATTATATCTTTGTTAATTTTCTAAAACAAAACTATTATATACCTCATATCCACATTATTACTACTTTTTGGATTTTGTTGACACAATCGACACAAAGCAATATTAGCGAAATATAGTTTATTTTAATCATATATTGTATTGATTTTATTTATAACCCAAATTAACCCAGCTCTTAGATATTTTAGTATTTGCAATATCTTAAGTTCTCATAACTGGTGTGGTATAGACTAAAATACTTGGCGCCCTATCAACATCTGAATATTAAAAACTATAGTGAACCTCCCCACTCCCTTCTCCACTGTAGCTAACCGCCTCACTAGATTTTTGTAAACGTTTTATTGGGTTATCATCTTAGTATTAAATTATAACGTAACAAGATAATAAGTATTTGTCGTAGAAAAAGTATAGTATGCACTTCGTTTATAAACTTTTCTATACACTCATTAATTTAAGAACTCGCTCGCAAGCTCGCTCGTGCCTAAATTAAATTCGTGTATAAAATGGCGTTTATCAAACTTGATACATAATATACTATTATGTACATTTGTTTTAAAAAGTTTTATTTTTAGTTTTTTTAAGGGAATTGATTTATCTATTTAATTTTTGTTTTTAAAGGGAATTTTTTATGTTTAAACGTTTTTTTATAAGAAAACTCTTAGTTAAATGAAAAACAAATAATTATTTTACACCTTTAATTAATAATTTACTGTTAGAAGTTACAATTTAGGTATATGAATCCTTTTAAAAGTAAATTAACTTAATCATGATTAATTCGTATTAATAATCCAGAGCAAACTTCGACCCCACGCACCCAACGCCGATGAAGGGTCTACATTGAAAAAATGTATCCTTAGCCGTTACCGAAAAATTGTTAAATAAGTATAGATTGTTACGGTTGAAATAGGTGACAGCAAATGTTTGTGGTATTTATTACCATACTGCTGAATTACGAAAACCGTGTCTCGGCGTCTCCCACTCTTAAAAATTATTAAAAATGGAAGTACCTACGGTATATTACTGATAAATTAAATTAAAATTTAAGTTTTTCTCACAGCGAGAATTTCGTTACTTTTAGACATTTTCACAATTTTCGGCGTTCGCTTAAAAAGCGCGCTCTTTTTTCGGGGGTAAGAAACAAATATAATTAATAAAATACGTGTAGAAATACTTTTATTTAAAATTTGAATTTGTTATAATTAATCTTTGAGCAATAAACTTTTGTTATCTCTCTGGATGAAGCCTTAAAAAACAAAAACTATTGCAAATTGGCAAACCATGCGTACGTTCATTTCTGGAAGGGCGTATCTTTAAATTAATTAAAAACCGTTTTTTGTGCTATAATAGCAAAATATGAACCAAAAGTTGAGGCAAAGTTTGGTTAATATATTTATTCAGTTTTTGACCGACTTATCTATACTGTCACAAATATTATTCCTGGAATGTGTATTGTGACTCACTATACACATTCCAGGAATAAGTGCATAGAAAATTAAATTACAAAGGCTATTTGGAATGGAGTTGTTTATTAAAATATTTTCAGGTGTTTGTTTGGAGTTAATTACTTTACATTTAAAGAAAAATATTCCATTTATTTGTTTTGATTCCTAAGATTGTCGGTAGTTTATTTTGATTAATTTTGGGCTTAGAAATGATCCTAAATATTGATCGATGTTCTTCTTGGAGTGTGTAAAATGGCAGTCAGCATCAGTGACTCAGTGATGTCGTTTTTATTTAGTATGCCTGCTTTACATGGGAGATTTAAATAGGTAAGGTAAATTATCCATAGGTTTCAATAAAATTTATTAAAAATTGCCTACACATTGACTTTTGCGACTGCGCTACAATTTAAAAACCCCACAGGCGTCAAATGGCCTGGCGACCGTCGCCATGGACTCGCAGCAGAGCAGCAACAGCAGCCCAGCAGATAAGAACTGAAGATGGTACATGAGATTGTACCGAAACATCGTCAGACAAACGGTTATTTTAAGAAAAACTATCAATACATATAACGCCCCTGGAAACCTAAAGGAGAACAAGTAAAGTAAATAACTTGTTAAATATTAATGATACTATAAAATTGTACTAAACAAACTTTTAGATGATACAATTTTCTATTGAATTGATATTTAACTTGTTGGTTTACTTTTTAATCCTATTAATTTTTTTGTAGATTATTTATTTTTATGAAAATATATTTACATAGATTGCAGTTATTTTTTTATGACGGCTTAATCTAAGAATATTTACTGACCCTATATTATACTTATATTATTTACTGAATAGAACAAACATTGTATGAAAAGAAAAACCTAAAATAATTAATATACATATGTAAAACTATAATTATATTATATACCTACGACACACTTACTATAAAATAATTTATGTATGTAGGAAATTATGCAAAAACACTAATTAGTATACCATTGTCGCAATAACAATTTTAAACTGTATTGTGTAAAATATAAATTTTTATATTATTATCGTATATAATAATTAGTAACGCTTAAAAGCATTTAAAATAAAGTGCTTCATAAAAAAGGAAACAAAATTGATAGAGCATAATATTTATTTCTAATGACAATGTTTGGATTCAGGAAGTTACCCCAAATAAAATGTTTTTTGGCAATAATATTTTTTTTTTAAATTACT